TAGATACCAATATTTCCAATGTTCTCCCGATAAATTGGCAGATTATGATGGTGAATCTTTACAGTTATACTACCCAGCTTGAAAGGGATTGCTGCAATCAATGAACTGGGGACCCTGCTACCAACATCTTCACCGAATTAGCCCTGAAAATGCTGGCTCATCTTCCCAACCGTTTTTTTCTCGGACAACAACTAAAAACCGAATGTGGGATTCACACAATGCAATAAACCTGCCTACCATTCAAATCATTTGGGCATGATTTCACCCTGGTGATATTGGGGATGGTTGATCATTGGTTTTATACCACAGAGCCCCATTTTTTGGGAACACCTTCAAGCTTCGGATCCAACGGCCTTCGTCCTATCTACCCGGGATTGATAGGAAGGCTCGAGTGACATGTTGGACAAGAGTTCTTCCAGAGATCAGTCGAACAAAACATCTAAAACATCTTAAACATCTTACCCTCTGGTAATTTAACATAACTGTGGAAAATCACCATTTTGAATGGGAAAACTCACTATAAATGGCCATTTTAAATAGCTATGTTAAATTACCAGAGGGTACATGTAAAAAACATGTCAGGTTTTTACCATCAACAATGTTGGGATTTAAAAACCGAAATTTTTGGGGATATCAATCTTACCCCCCCCCGCCTATCAAAGATGGCAATGGGAAATCTTCTATCAATGGAGGTTTTAATGTGAAAATCAATGAAACTCATCTATAAACGCTGGATCCTCCATTGCCATATTTGATTGCCGGAAAGTAAATGTAACCAAAATGTCTTCTGTATTCTTAGCATCAGCCTGAAATACTTAGTTTTCAGGCCTATTGTTTTCTCGAGTTCCTTTTCCATTTTCGCGAGCTCTTCACAGCGAGCTCTTCGCAGTATCAAACTGCGAATTTCTCTGCAGACGCCTCAGAAAATGGTCGAAAAATGAGTTTGGGATGAGTTGAGCATCCAAAATGAAAAGGAACCGCTCGCAATATGTAGGTTTCATAAAATAGGGGTACCCCTAAATCATCCTTTTTAATAGGATGGTCCATTATAAACCATCCATTTGGGGTACCCCCATTTATGGAAACCCCCATATCGAACCACCCCAAGAATCGCAAAAATCATCAAAAATCTGGATCTTGCACTTCAGCTTCATTAGTTCTCAACAAAAAAACGCTGAAATTGCGATATGTTCATTTCATGTTCATCGATAATGGGGCTCCAGATCTGGCACTAGATTTTCCAAAAATGGCAAGCAAAAAAGACAAGTCATTTTTTTCAAATGCAGCAAAACAAACTTTGATCCATACCTATTCATACTACTCTATTTTCTACTCAATCCACGAATGTGGTTTTTACCCTATTTCCAACAAAACCCACATGGAATCCAGATATGTTCTTCCAGATCGAGTGCGTTCAATCATAAATGTCTCCTTTAGTTTGTTGTTCTTGGCGGGTTAAATCCCCATGAACTCCCCCAGATGTTCGATAGCTTGGATGGGGCCCCTGTTCGAGCGATCGCGTGAACCGTTGCCGAACATTTTTGTGGCTGAATTCTATGGTTTATGGTAGATATAATATGATATAACTATAGTTCATGGGGGGGTATTTCATGGTTTATAAACCAACATTCACATCACTGGGGGTCCCCATCCTGATGTTTAACCCCAATTGTGGTATCTTAAATCCATGAAGTGTCCTCGCTTAGACATCCCAAAGATTGTACTTTGGCATCCGTATTAGATTCCATTGAATCCCATCAGCCATCGTTAAAATAATCCTATGAATTCCCATGTCTCACTGGTCAAACTGTTTTGGAATCCAATGTGTCATGTCTTTTTCCCATCTATTTCAGCCAACCGGTGCCTTAGGTTTCACCCCAAAATCCCATAGATTCCATAGATTCCATCCCATATGAATTCCCCATGGGTCCCTTTAAAGAGCCCTTTTTTTCGGCCGCCCCAAAATCCGTGGCGCACCTCCTCGGCTTGCAGCAGCGCCGCCTCGATGGCCACCTGCAGCGGAACGCGTCGCTCCAGGCCGTCGCTCTTCGGCCAGCGGGCCGCCAGCAGCTGCAGCCGCGCCGCGTGACCATCGCGTCGCACGTCCTACGGGGGGCCGCTACACCGGTTGGAGATGGATGTTTGCTGGGATATATTTATATATATATATAACAATCCTGGAGTAGATAGAATCCCGTATCGTAGGGGGCGTTTTTTTTTTGAAAAAACCCAGGGTTTTTTGACCCAATACTAAACTATATATTCAGACCCCCTAGATAGAATATTCCAAAATCTACTCCAGGATGCTCAAAATGTGTTTTTTTTTCCTTTCCTTTTCAAAACCTTCCACTTTATTTTTTTCTTTCAAATTTTCCTTTTCAAACAGCTGCAAAAAATGAACTTTGGATGGTAAGATCGTAGACGTAGATTCCTACTTTTTTCATTTCCTTTTCCTTTCACACTTTTCCCTTCAAAAATCTGTAATTGTGAACTTTGGATGGTAAGATCGTGGATTCCAGCTTTTCTCATGCCATGTTCCTTTCAAAGTTTGATTCCTGCTTTTCTCATGTCCTTTTCCTGTCACAGTTTTCCATTCAAAAACCTTCAATTATGAACTTTGGATGGTAAGATCGTGCATTCCAATTTGTTTCCTTCCATTTTCCTTCCAAGTTTCCTTTTCAAACAGCTGCGAGAATGAACTTTGGATGGTAAGATCAGCTATTCCTACTTTTCTCATGCACTCTTCCTTTCAAACACAGTTTTCCATTCAAAAACCTTCAATTATGAACTTTGGATGCTCGATCTTGGATTCCTACTTTTCTATACTTTTCTCATCTCCTTTTCCTTTCACGGCTTTCTATTCAAAAACCTGCAAGACTGAACTTTGAATGGTAAGATCGTGGATTCCTTCTTTTCTCATCCCATTTTCTTTTTGTTGCTTCTTTTCAAAAACCTGCAATTTCAACTTTGGATGGTAAGATCTTGGATTCCTACTTTTTAGATGCCATTTTCCTTTTAAAGTTTGCTTTCAAACAGCTCCAAGAATGAACTTTGGATGGGTAGATGTGGAGGAAGGGGCAGGGAGCACCACAAATACATGCTTAATCCCAAACATCCTTTAAAAATTCAGTCTTTTCATGGTTCTAGAGGATATTCTATCTATAGTTTTGCCCAACTGTCCTAGCACAGCACTAGCACAAATGAACTTTGGATGGTCGATCTTGGATTCCTACTTTTCTATACTTTTCTCATCTCCTTTTCCTTTCACAGCTTTCTATTCAAAAACCTGCAAGACTGAACTTTGAATGGTAAGATCGTGGATTCCTTCTTTTCTCATCCCATTTTCCTTTTGTTGCTTCTTTTCAAAAACCTGCAATTTCAACTTTGGATGGTAAGATCTTGGATTCCTACTTTTTTAATGCCATTTTCCTTTTAAAGCTTGCTTTCAAACAGCTCCAAGAATGAACTTTGGATGGGTAGATGTGGAGGAAGGGGCAGGGAACACCACAAATACATGCTCAACTCCAAGCATCCTTTAAAAATTCAGTCTTTTCATGGTTCTAGAGGATATTCTATCTATAGTTTTGCCCAACTGTCCTAGCACAGTACTAGCACAAATGAACTTTGGATGGTCGATCTTGGATTCCTTCTTTTCTGTACTTTTCTCATCTCCTTTTCCTTTCACGGCTTTCTATTCCAAAACCTGCAAGACTGAACTTTGAATGGTAAGATCGTGGATTTCTTCTTTTCTCATCCCATTTTCCTTTTGTTGCTTCTTTTCAAAAACCTGCAATTTCAACTTTGGATGGTAAGATCTTGGATTCCTACTTTTTAATGCCATTTTCCTTTTAAAGCTTGCTTTCAAACAGCTCCAAGAATGAACTTTGGATGGGTAGATGTGGAGGAAGGGGCAGGGAACACCACAAATACATGCTCAACCTCCAAGCATCCTTTAAAAATTCAGTCTTTTCATGGTTCTAGAGGATATTCTATCTATAGTTTTGCCCAACTGTCCTAGCACAGCACTAGCAAAAATGAACTTTGGATGGTCGATCTTGGGTTCCTACTTTTCTATACTTTTCTCGTCTCCTTTTCTTTTCACAGCTTTCTATTCAAAAACCTGCAAGACTGAACTTTGAATGGTAAGATCGTGGATTATTTCTTTTCTCATCCCATTTTCCTTTTGTGGTTTCTTTTCAAAAACCTGCAATTTCAACTTTGGATGGTAAGATCTTGGATTCCTACTTTTTTAATGCCATTTTCCTTTTAAAGCTTGCTTTCAAACAGCTCCAAGAATGAACTTTGGATGGGTAGATGTGGAGGAAGGGGCAGGGAACACCACAAATACATGCTTAATCCCAAACATCCTTTAAAAATTCAGTCTTTTCATGGTTCTAGAGGATATTCTATCTATAGTTTTGCCCAACTGTCCTAGCACAGTACTAGCACAAATGAACTTTGGATGGTCGATCTTGGATTCCTACTTTTCTATACTTTTCTCATCTCCTTTTCCTTTCACAGCTTTCTATTCAAAAACCTGCAAGACTGAACTTTGAATGGTAAGATCGTGGATTCCTTCTTTTCTCATCCCATTTTCTTTTTGTTGCTTCTTTTCAAAAACCTGCAATTTCAACTTTGGATGGTAAGATCTTGGATTCCTACTTTTTAGATGCCATTTTCCTTTAAAGCTTGCTTTCAAACAGCTCCAAGAATGAACTTTGGATGGGTAGATGTGGAGGAAGGGGCAGGGAGCACCACAAATACATGCTTAATCCCAAACATCCTTTAAAAATTCAGTCTTTTCATGGTTCTAGAGGATATTCTATCTATAGTTTTGCCCAACTGTCCTAGCACAGTACTAGCACAAAATGAACTTTGGATGGTCGATCTTGGATTCCTACTTTTCTGTACTTTTCTCATCTCCTTTTCCTTTCACGGCTTTCTATTCAAAAACCTGCAAGACTGAACTTTGAATGGTAAGATCGTGGATTTCTTCTTTTCTCATCCCATTTTCCTTTTGTTGCTTCTTTTCAAAAACCTGCAATTTCAACTTTGGATGGTAAGATCTTGGATTCCTACTTTTTTAATGCCATTTTCCTTTTAAAGCTTGCTTTCAAACAGCTCCAAGAATGAACTTTGGATGGGTAGATGTGGAGGAAGGGGCAGGGAACACCACAAATACATGCTCAACTCCAAGCATCCTTTAAAAATTCAGTCTTTTCATGGTTCTAGAGGATATTCTATCTATAGTTTTGCCCAACTGTCCTAGCACAGCACTAGCAAAAATGAACTTTGGATGGTCGATCTTGGATTCCTACTTTTCTATACTTTTCTCATCTCCTTTTCCTTTCACAGCTTTCTATTCAAAAACCTGCAAGACTGAACTTTGAATGGTAAGATCGTGGATTCCTTCTTTTCTCATCCCATTTTCCTTTTGTTGCTTCTTTTCAAAAACCTGCAATTTCAACTTTGGATGGTAAGATCTTGGATTCCTATTTTTTAATGCCATTTTCCTTTTAAAGCTTGCTTTCAAACAGCTCCAAGAATGAACTTTGGATGGGTAGATGTGGAGGAAGGGGCAGGGAGCACCACAAATACATGCTTAATTCCAAGCATCCTTTAAAAATGCAGTCTTTTCATGGTTCTAGAGGATATTCTATCTATAGTTTTGCCCAACTGTCCTAGCACAGCACTAGCACAAATGAACTTTGGATGGGCGATCTTGGATTCCTACTTTTCTATACTGTTCTCATCTCCTTTTCCTTTCACAGCTTTCTTTTCAAAAACCTGCAAGACTGAACTTTGAATGGTAAGATCGTGGATTCCTTCTTTTCTCATCCCATTTTCTTTTTGTTGTTTCTTTTCAAAAACCTGCAATTTCAACTTTGGATGGTAAGATCTTGGATTCCTACTTTTTAGATGCCATTTTCCTTTTTAACAGAAAGCTTGCTTTATATGTAGATGTGGAGGAAGGGGCAGGGAGCACCACAAATACATGCTTAATCTTAATCCCAAACATCCTTTAAACATTCAGTCTTTTCATGGTTCTAGAGGATATTCTATCTATAGTTTTGCCCAACTGTCCTAGCACAGTACTAGCACAAATGAACTTTGGATGGTCGATCTTGGATTCCTACTTTCTGTATTTTTCTCATATCCTTTTCCTTTCACAGCTTTCTATTCAAAAACCTGCAAGACTGAACTTTGAATGGTAAGATCGTGGATTTCTTCTTTTCTCATCCCATTTTCTTTTTGTTGTTTCTTTTCAAAAACCTGCAATTTCAACTTTGGATGGTAAGATCTTGGATTCCTACTTTTTAGATGCCATTTTCCTTTTAAAGCTTGCTTTCAAACAGCTCCAAGAATGAACTTTGGATGAGTAGATGTGGAGGAAGGGGCAGGGAGCACCACAAATACATGCTTAATCCCAAACATCCTTTAAACATTCAGTCTTTTCATGGTTCTAGAGGATATTCTATCTATAGTTTTGCCCAACTGTCCTAGCACAGTACTAGCACAAATGAACTTTGGATGGTCGATCTTGGATTCCTACTTTTCTGTACTTTTCTCATCTCCTTTTCCTTTCACGGCTTTCTATTCAAAAACCTGCAAGACTGAACTTTGAATGGTGAGATCGTGGATTTCTTCTTTTCTCATCCCATTTTCCTTTTGTTGATTCTTTTCAAACACCTGCAATTTTAACTTTGGATGGTAAGATCTTGGATTCCTACTTTTTTTAATGCCATTTTCCTTTTAAAGCTTGCTTTCAAACAGCTCCAAGAATGAACTTTGGATGGGTAGATGTGGAGGAAGGGGCAGGGAACACCACAAATACATGCTCAACTCCAAGCATCCTTAAAAAATTCAGTCTTTTCATGGTTCTAGAGGATATTCTATCTATAGTTTTGCCCAACTGTCCTAGCACAGCACTAGCAAAAATGAACTTTGGATGGTCGATCTTGGATTCCTACTTTTCTATACTTTTCTCATCTCCTTTTCCTTTCGCAGCTTTCTTTTCAAAAACCTGCAAGATTGAACTTTGAATGGTAAGATCGTGGATTATTTCTTTTCTCATCCCATTTTCCTTTTGTGGTTTCTTTTCAAAAACCTGCAATTTCAACTTTGGATGGTAAGGGATTCCTACTTTTTTAATGCCATTTTCCTTTTAAAGTGTGCTTTCAAACAGCTCCAAGAATGAACTTTGGATGGGTAGATGTGGAGGAAGGGGCAGGGAACACCACAAATACATGCTCAACTCCAAGCATCCTTTAAAAATTCAGTCTTTTACATGGTTCTAGTGGATATTCTATCTATAGTTTTGCCCAACTGTCCTAGCACAGCACTAGCCAAAATGAACTTTGGATGGTCGATCTTGGATTCCTACTTTTCTGTACTTTTCTCATCTCCTTTTCCTTTCACGGCTTTCTATTCAAAAACCTGCAAGACTGAACTTTAAATGGTAAGATCGTGGATTCCTTCTTTTCTCATCCCATTTTCCTTTTGTGGTTTCTTTTCAAAAACCTGCAATTTCAACTTGGGATGGTGAGATCTCGGATTCCTATTTTTTAATGCCATTTTCCTTTTAAAGCTTGCTTTCAAACAGCTCCAAGAATGAACTTTGGATGGGTAGATGTGGAGGAAGGGGCGGGGAACACCACAAATACATGCTTAATCCCAAACATCCTTTAAAAAATTCAGTCTTTTCATGGTTCTAGAGGATATTCTATCTATAGTTTTGCCCAACTGTCCTAGCACAGCACTAGCAAAAATGAACTTTGGATGCTCGATCTTGGATTCCTACTTTTCTATACTTTTCTCATCTCCTTTTCCTTTCGCAGCTTTCTTTTCAAAAACCTGCAAGACTGAACTTTGAATGGTAAGATCGTGGATTCCTTCTTTCCTCATCCCATTTTCCTTTTGTGGTTTCTTTTCAAAAACCTGCAATTTCAACTTTGGATGGTAAGATCTTGGATTCCTACTTTTTAATGCCATTTTCCTTTTAAAGTGTGCTTTCAAACAGCTCCAAGAATGAACTTTGGATGGGTAGATGTGGAGGAAGGGGCAGGGAACACCACAAATACATGCTCAACTCCAAGCATCTTTTAAAAATTCAGTCTTTTCATGGTTCTAGAGGATATTCTATCTATAGTTTTGCCCAACTGTCCTAGCACAGCACTAGCACAAATGAACTTTGGATGGTCGATCTTGGATTCCTACTTTTCTATACTTTTCTCATCTCCTTTTCCTTTCGCAGCTTTCTTTTAAAAAACCTGCAAGATTGAACTTTGAATGGAAAGATCGTGGATTATTTCTTTTCTCATCCCATTTTCCTTTTGTGGTTTCTTTTCAAAACCTGCAATTTCAACTTTGGATGGTGAGATCTCGGATTCCTTTTTTTTTAATGCCATTTTCCTTTTAAAGCTTGCTTTCAAACAGCTCCAAGAATGAACTTTGGATGGGTAGATGTGGAGGAAGGGGCAGGGAGCACCACAAATACATGCTTAATTCCAAGCATCCTTTAAAAATTAAGTCTTTTCATGGATCTAGAGGATATTCTATCTAGAGTTTGACTATCCAACCATACATATTATATTTACATATTTTATATCATTCACATATAAAGCATATGTTTCAATCATAGTAAACACCATACATGAACGGAGAATATGCAACTCGCTATTTTAGCAGCGGTGTTCTTGAGCCAAAGGTTGGCGTAGCAACTAGTGAGAACCCTATATCCCGTCACCCCTCCTGTACAGAGGCTGGGATTTTCCTAAGCTGATGTACACTCATTCCAAAGCCTTTGCAGCTTCGGCTCTACCATGAGAGTACTCGAACCCCATGCTTTGCATGTGTCTTTCCATCTCATTCGCAGGTAAACCTTTGGTGCACAAATCAGCTACGTTCTGCTTTGTCGGGATCTTCACCAGTTCGAATTCATGTAGTGCAAGCTTTTCTTGCACCCACAGAAAGCGAGTTTGAACATGCCGTGAGCGGCCTAAGCCCTGACGGTTACATGTTCCCAGCGCAGTGGATGAATCTGTGTGCACTTTAAGTTTTGGTTGTAGGCCCCATCCTCGCAAGATCTCCTGTAGCGACATTCCGATGGAAACTCCTCGAACGATCGAGTAGTATTCCGCTTCACCGGAACTCAAGCTGATCGTGCTCTGAAGAGTGCTCGAGGCCTTCACCGTGTGGCGGCCAAAGGTTGCCACAAGTCCACTTGTTGAGCGCCTTGTAAGAAGACACCCAGCGAAGTCGGAGTCCACGTACATGTGGATCGTGTCAGCAAACTTCTGGCGACCAAACTTCAAAAGTACACGTGGTTTCCCTTTCAGAAATCTCACCTAGCGTTTCAGATCCTGAAAGTCAGATTCTTTGGGCTCATGCATTCTTCTTGATAGGCATTTCACTGCCTCCGCGATGTCAGGTCTGTCCTGTGCCACATACGACGCTCTCATCACCAGAGACCGGAAGAAACTTACACGGTCCGGTGTGATGGTCGGGGTGGTCAACTTCAAGTTGGCCTCCGTGGCTGACATTTTCTCAGATGGTGTCTTGACTGGCTTACAGTTTTCCATTTCTAGATCTCGTACCATCTGGTCAACGTGGCGGGGGTCCGCCTCATAGGATACAGAGCCTTCCTGCTCGTTGTAGGTCACGATTCGATTGAGCACTGCGAACTGCTGATGCCGTTCTCCAGGACCGATCGATCCATCGACCCGCAGATCATATTTGGACCTCAAGGTGTCCTCAAGGTATTTCTGTCCAGCATCATCAGCAAGCACCACGAAGTCATCTCCGTGTACAAGAACTCGAATACCACCGTAACCTTCATGGTAAAAGCAGGATGGCCAAGCTTGATTCTTGGCAAAACCAGCTCGGATGAGAAGTTCTGTATATGATCTTTGCCAGATCGCTGATGCATCGCGTGTTCCATACATGCTCTTAACGAGCTTGCCACAAAACCCTTCTTGTCGATCTCCTTCAGGTAACTGCACGAAGATATCACGCTCTGCCTCTCCATAGAAGTGAGCGCGTGATATGTCAAGAAGACGAACTTTCAGTGCATTGCCAGACTTGGATCGTCTCAAAGTCACCATAAGCGATAGAAGCAATTTCAGCGATTCCAAAGGCGGCATCGAACTGAAGGACGCATAGTCCGGAATGAAGTCAGCATTGCTGGCCCGTTTGATCTCTCTACAGACCAGACGTGACCTGTAGTTGGGGTGTGTTGCATCCCCTTTGTTTCTGTCAATCCATTTCATGGTGATGACCGGTTTTCCAGACTGTTGGGCTTCTGTGAGTGGAACTTTGATATAGATACCCTGTTTGTGTACCCATGCTAGTTCTTCTTGTCGAGCAGCTCTGACCTTGTCAACATCCAAGACAGCACCGGAGTGTGCGTCAAGCACTGGCTCCACGATGGTGTCATCGCTGTCGGGCAGCTGCTTCCAAAACTCCTCCTCTTCATTGATCACAGGTCCAGCATCGGGTACTGGGCCATGTGAAAGTGAGTGTAGTTCTCCATCACATTCCAGTTGGCGCCTAATGGCCTTGAGAATTGCGTGGACAAGCTTTGGTGGGTATTTCTGGGCAGCTCGGGCTCGTCCATCAACAAGATGTACATGGCGGTGCCAAACTTTGCCTTCTTTGTTTGAACAGCACCCTTGTAGGGTCTGTGCCAGGATTGGAGAGTTCGTGAGCCAGGTAGTTTGTTTCTTCACTGACCCTTCACCTTGGCCATCGGCGGCCTTCATTCCCCAACGGCACATTGGTCCAGTGACCTCATACACCCGTTCATCTGCCCTCAGTCTCTTCACAGCTCTCTCTTCCCACGAAGCGGCCCCTTTAGGGTGCTCATGGTAGAAGTACCTTCCAGCATTCATTTGATGCTCATACGCTGAAACTGCCGTGCGCAGATGTTTGCGACCATCTTTTAGTCTCTGCGCTCGAACTTCAGGTGAAACATTGCCCTTCGCATCCACAATGCTTTGCAGCTTCGAGAATGGCCCACAGGGAGGTGAGCCGCCGAGGAACTCTGGTTTCTCATAGTCAAGCAGTTGAAACAGATCACGAATGTGTTCATCTTTACTCAAGTCCCAGTGAGTTCCATCACCACGCTTTGTCTCCAAGTCAATCGAGAAGCCAGGTGCTAGCCCGACCACTTGGGCTTGTGCAGCCACACGCGGTGGAGAGAAGATCTCAGCAACCTTCCCTTTTGCGATCACATCTTTGAGCAAGGAACACAGATGTAGCATCTCCTGGTTTGTCTCAGGACTTGTTGGTGCAGCGGCAGCACCTTCCGGAACACCAGATGAAGCATCCGGTGCCGGTGGTCCGGCTGACCCTGAAGCCTGAGCTGAAGATTCATTGTAAAGATCTTCAACGTCGACTTGTGAACTCCTTTTCTCTCCTCGGGATTGTTCTTGTTTCTGCCTCTTTGGGCTTCCTTCTCTTTCTTGTTCTCTCTGTCTGAGTTCTCCACGAAAATCGGTGTCGACCAGTGGTTCACCAACAGCCTCACTTGCATCCATTTCCGCATCCAAAGGAACACGGTCTTGCAAGACTGGTTGTTCAACTTCCCCTCCTGGGACAACTGGTGGTGCAGCTTCACCACCTTCTGCCCCACCACCCTCAGGCGGTGCAGCCGCGCCTCTTGGGCGCCTGCCTTGTGCAACTCTCTCTCTCTCGCTCTTTTGATCCTTTCTTGACCTTCTGGAGTCTTGTCAAGTTCGATCTGGATTCTTTGTCTGCACTCAGCATTGTGAGCTCGGCTTGGCATCTCAAGTATTGCTGCTTCACATCCAGGACACAAAGGTGTGTGCCCATGCTTTTCCAAGTCATTCTTGGTGACATAGAGGTTCCTTGGGATCACTTCTTGCACTGCAGGCCTTTCACGAGGCGCTGCAACATCGGGAAGGGCGATCCTCAGTCCACCATGTTCTCGTTCTTGCAACCTCCAAGGAAGGCCACGTAGCGAGTCAAACTGATCATGTTTGAACTGATCGTCAGGTGGGCGTCGATGGATCGAGTTCCCCTTCATGATTCCACGTTCCGTCATGACAAAGACGTCTGAATTTCTGTTTCCAGTTCCAACGTACATCCCAATGGATACCCTTGGGGCAAGGTCATTTCTCTTGCCCCCACGATTGGCCCTCGGCCTATACAGGATGCTTTCACCGAACCTCACAAGCGGAATCCGCCATTTTCGTCCATAGGTCCGCTCAAAAGCGGTCTTTCCATCAGTACCTACTCGGTATCTCGTCAAGAGAAAGGCAGCATGCCGCGGGAGCCAAACCAAAAGTGGATGGCCCGGATCTACCTTCCTTTCCAGCTTGAACTCCAGGTCGCTGAGGAGAGCACGACATTGTCGTTTTATCTCTCGCACTCCCACTTCGATAAACCCATTGGCTTGATGGTCTTCTACTGGGGTTTCCACCAAGTGCACTTCGATGTGGGTCTTTATCTCCTTAACCTTCTGTTTAAGGGATACCAAGGAGGGTTCACCGTCAGACTTAAGGATTACCTTATTAAAACCAGCATCATCCAAAACTCCCCCAAGCCACGCGATTGCGAACGCATCCGCCCCTTTTCCCGGGAGAACGCTCGCCCAAAATCTCTTGGTCTTGTGGCACTTCACCACAATGCTCGGAAGGGTCGCCTCATCCGCAACCTGGTCCTGGTTCATATAGAAGTAGTCCAGGCTCAGCGTGGGCAACTGCGTTTCTGGCTCATCAAGTTCCTTAGGCACATGGCGATCAGCAGTCACACGTGCCCTTTTGCAGTGCAAGCACCAGCTCCGATGGACAACATGTCCAGTGCTTTCATGTTCGTCAACTTCAGCTTGGGATGGTTGATGTGGTTCTTTCTTCACAATGGCTTTCCTCTGTTCTTCACCGATTTCCAAATCAACTTCATCTTCAAAGGCATCTGCTCCGGCTGAAGCAGCTGGAACATCGCCTGAGGACCCTGCTCCGGCCGAAGCGGCTGAAACATCGCCTCCATCTTCCATGGCATCGGCTCCGGCTGAAACAGCTGGATCCTCGCCAACAGCGTTGATTTGTGGTCTTACTCCTCTTGAGGATGCCCCTGAAAAGGTGACACCCAATAGTCCAACACATAGATGCCTCGGCGATTGTGCACAATGGGCATTGAATCGCCATAATCTCGGATCAGATCTTTCATGGCCTTCGAATAGGCCCGTCCCGCAGGAGTGTTTCTTGGGATCAATCTCCCCGAAGATGGTCCAAGGGCGATGTGGTAGTTCTTGGCGATCTCGGAACCTGAAAGAAGTGGCCGATGCACATCTGCAACTCGGCAATCGATTGGGATCTTGTTGCCAGATTCGTCGTATCCCACCAGCTTCACACTTCCCTGATCTTCGATGGGTTCCGCATTGGCTGCCTTGTAGCTTGCTCCATTGGACTCGCTCCTCGGGTAGTCCTTGGCGAAGTCAAGTGGTACTGCAGTGATGGCAGCACCGGTGTCGATGTTCAACTCTGCTCGTTCCCATTTTCGCCAGTCGTCAGAGGCCCCCAAGCTGTAGACTGCAGCAGGAGCCGATCCAGCTCCACCATCGGGGTCTCCTCTGCCTGGTCGGTCTCGAGGCTCATCAGGCTCTTCGATGTAGACCTCTTCCATTTCATCATCATCTTCATCTGCGTTCACTTCAGTGTTTTCCTTCAGAACCAAGGCTGGTCGGTTCTTCCTCGCCATCTTGCGCGCCACATTGCGGTTGCGATTCTTCTTCACCCTGTACCCAACGCTTCGAACACGCTTGGTCATGGGTTTCTTCTTGGGGTCCTTCTGCAGCAACTTGGCCTCGTCGTCCGGGAACTGCCTCAAGGTTTTCCGCTCTTCCGCTGAAAACTCTATCACTGTGCTCTGACCAGCTTTGCCCACAACCACCGTCTCGATGCCCGCATCCAAGTTGTCTTCATCCTCGATTCTCACTATGCCTTCTGGATTTTCTGGGTTGTCAAAGCGTTCATGCCATTCTTTGTCAAGTCGAATCCTTTCAGCCGCACGTGCCTTGACTCCTCCTCGTCGGTGGACGATTGCACGTCTTCTCAAACGTTCATTTCTCCAGGCCACATTGTGTGCAACACCTTTGGCAATCTCGGCATGGTATCTCGAGTCGTGGAAAGAAGGATCGCTGATGTTCTGCTTTGTGATGTGCGGTGCCTTGACAGATCTAGTCCTCAAAGCCGCTAACATCGCATCTGCCTGGCCATCTCCTGAACCAGGATCTTCTTCTTGGACTTTGCGGATTTGTGAACTCAGCGCAGCCTTCAGCATCTGGACAAGTCGAGAACCTGAAGTCGAAGCTGCCGATGATGCCTTGACAGGTGGTGGTGGCTTCACCTGAGAGCTTTGCCATCCCGGTGGTGGACATGGCGGAGTCTTGGGTGAAGCTACTTGGCTTTGCCATCCTGGTGGTGGTCCTGGTGGAGTCTTGGGCGAGGCTATCGGCTGTTGTGGAGGTGATGCAGGCCATGCTATAGGTGTCGGTGGTGTCTTTGGCAAAGGTGTAGAGCTACGAAGAAGTTCTTCTGGAGTCTGTGGCCCATGCCTCAACCTTCTCCTTGGTGGTGGTGTCATCGAAGTCATTCGAAAGCGTCGGAGTGCTGACTCCGGAGTGACTGGCCCTGATCTGCTTGCTTTGCCTCTCTTTGGTGTTGAGCTCTTTGGACTTCTGCCCCTCTTGGGTCTTCCCTGTGGCGTTCGAGGTGCCTTGGAAGACGCGGACTTGGATGTAGTGGTCTCGTGCTCGGTGACCTCCTCCAGTCGAAGCGACCGAAGGGGTCTTGAGCCACTCGATCCACTCGGTCCATCATAGTCGGGGTCGTCCCACTCTTCAGGCCATGACGCACGTGGGTGAGGCAAAGAAAACCACCTTCTGCGACTTGTCAAGGCTTCCGACTCCTCGGACTCGGGATCGACCTGGAAACTTTCGTCGTCATCCTCGTCATGTGGTGGCCCATCAACGCCATAGAGCATTAAACCATTTGCTGCTTGTTGACCATCGTCGCCATCAGCTGCGTCCCAGTCTTCTGCTTCTGGTTCACCTTGTTCGACATTGTTCACAGATTTGCCTCCTTTGGGCTTCTGCTTGTGCTTTCCGGGGCTGCCTTTGCCCTTGCCCTTGTCCTTATTCTGATTGCTGTTGCCTTTGCCACCCGTCCCCTTATGTTTGGGGCCTCCAGGTGCCCAGCAATCTGCCCGCAGATGTCCTGGGCGTCCGCAGTTGTGACATGTTCTCTTCTCAGCTGTTGCATTTCCCTTTCCAGGTTTTCCTCCAGCTCCCTTCTTGCCCTTACCTTTTCCCTTCGCATCTTTTCCAAAGCTTCCGACATCCATAGGATCGTCCCCACGGCCATGTGCGTCGTAGGGCTGGCTATTCACCACCTTGATCTTGTTGCCGGTGGCATGTTCCACATAGGACTGGATCTCGGACAGCATGGACTCGAACGTCTTGAAGCGATCTCGATTGAGAACGAGATGACGCTCGAGCTCTGCCGGCACCAATCGTTCAATCACGTTGATCTTGATGTCTTCTGCCAACATCGTTCGGTTGCCAGATGCGTCTTTGCGACGTTCATAAAGTCTGATGCTGTCAAGAAGCTTCTCCAGGTTGGACGGCAAATCTTCCATCTTGGATCGAGCCGGTGACAAGATTGCATTGAGGAGAGCGCTTTTGCGACCACCAGTGGATGGGTCGTACCTCCGCGTGAGCTTTCTCCAGCTTTCGATGCCGCATTCCCCGGTGTTCAGCACGATGTCAAAGGGCTCACGCTCTGTCAGCATTAGCAGCGCGTCCCAAAGCTCGCGTCTCAATTCACTGATGTTCGACACCTGGTCAATGGCATCTGCTTGACTCCCAAAAGCCTTGTCGATGTCATCTGCAGTGATTGCATGATCGCAATCTTCGGCCCAAACCAGAATCTCACGAAGGTCTTTGCGAACACTTGCAAGATAGGAGGACGTCTTGATTTTCCATGACAAGAATCTTTCGGCTGTCCCATCAAACTTGTCGGGCTTGCCAAGGCCCTTGTTGTCGACCAACCGGACTTGTTCTTTCGATCTAAGGGCGTCCACAAGCTCCTTTTGTGACTGCACCAACTGTGCCAGTGCACTGCCAGGTCCAGCTGAAGCAGCCGAACCGGCACCAAAAGAAGCGACCTGTGCTGTCAGTTCAGCTTCTCGGCCTCTTAGTCGATTGACCTCGGTCTGTAGTTCCTGGAGCGACTGGAGGACCTGTGCCGCTTGTTGTTGGTCCATTGCTAAGACCCTGGAGCGTATCGCTCCGCTACCATGAACGGAGAATATGCAACTCGCTATTTTAGCAGCGGTGTTCTTGAGCCAAAGGTTGGCGTAGCAACTAGTGAGAACCCTATATCCCGTCAGTATGTAATTTACATACAAAAACGTATGTGCACGTATGGGCATAGTGACGTTTATGCCTTTTATTACATCCACATCTATAAGCATTTATACCTATATACATATATATATATATATTCATATTCATATGTGTATATATATATACACACATATACATGTACATATACATATACATATATATATGTGTGTGTGTGTGTCTGTGCATACAAAGGTACATATTCCATGACATGTGAGCACCCCACACCTTCCACTTTGGGAGACTTGTCACCCACCAAGTCTTGTTGTTCTTTTTGTTTTTTCGCCAGGATCGCTTCAACCTCCCCAAACCTGGGATGCCGTGGCTTCAAAAGCAGGAAGCACACATCTATATCGTGCATGTAGATAGAGAGAGTGCCGTCAATGAAACATGTTGTTGACAAACAGCAACCCGCAAAAGATCTTGGGGGGATCTCTAAGTTGGACGTCCCCACTTTATGGTTGGTCAAAAGGTGCCAACGTTTCGCCCAAACGACTCAGATGTCGTCTTCATATCTTCAGCCTTGATCTCATCATCAGCGGCCTCGACAGCCTCGACAGCCTCGACAGCCTCGGCCACAGGCGGATCTGCTGCAGGGGCACTGGCTCTCATCGCTTCGACTTCATTCTTTGCCTGTTTCTGCCTGAATTTAGCTTGGATTTTTGTGGCTGCTTGCGCTGTTTCTTCCTTCTCTTTCTTCATTGCTTCAACTTCGCTGGCAGCTTGCTTCTGCCTGAACTTTGCTTGGATCTTTGTGGCTGCCAATGCTGTCTCTTCATTTTCTGGGATCTCGTCTGCTGGATCATTGGCAGGGCCACTCTGCCCATCATTTCCTTGTCGCATTGCTGCAACTTCACTTGCAGCTTGCTTCTGTCTAAACTTTGCTTGGATCTTTGTGGCTGCAAGTGCTGTCTCCTCATTGTCTGGTATCTCGTCTGCTGGATCATTGGCAGGGCCACTCTGCCCATCATTTCCTTGTCGCATTGCTGCAACTTCACTTGCAGCTTGCTTCTGCCTGAATTTTGCTTGAATCTTTGTGGCTGCAAGTGCTGTCTCTTCATTGTCTGGTATCTCATCTGCTGGATCATTGGCAGGGCCACTCTGCCCATCATTTCCTTGTCGCATTGCTGCAACTTCACTTGCAGCTTGCTTCTGCCTGAATTTTGCTTGGATCTTTGTGGCTGCAAGTGCTGTCTCCTCATTGTCTGGTATCTCGTCTGCTGGATCATTGGCAGGGCCACTCTGCCCATCATTTCCTTGTCGCATTGCTGCAACTTCACTTGCAGCTTGCTTCTGTCTAAACTTTGCTTGGATCTTTGTGGCTGCAAGTGCTGTCTCTTCATTGTCTGGTATCTCATCTGCTGGATCATTGGCAGGGCCACTCTGCCCATCATTTCCTTGTCGCATTGCTGCAACTTCACTTGCAGCTTGCTTCTGCCTGAATTTTGCTTGAATCTTTGTGGCTGCAAGTGCTGTCTCTTCATTGTCTGGTATCTCATCTGCTGGATCATTGGCAGGGCCACTCTGCCCATCATTTCCTTGTCGCATTGCTGCAACTTCACTTGCAGCTTGCTTCTGCCTAAACTTTGCTTGGATCTTTGTGGCTGCAAGTGCTGTCTCTTCATTGTCTGGTATCTCGTCTGCTGGATCATTGGCAGGGCCACTCTGCCCATCATTTCCTTGTCGCATTGCTGCAACTTCGCTTGCGGCTTGCTTCTGCCTAAACCTTGCTTGGATCTTGGTAGCAGCCAGCGCTGTCTCCTCATTGTCTGGTATCTCGTCTGCTGGATCGTTGACAGCGGCACTTTGTCCGTCGTTTCTCTTTCTCAGTGCATCAACTTCACTTGCAGCTTGTTTCTGCCTAAACCTTGCTTGGATCTTTGTGGCTGCTTGTGCAGTTTCTTCGTTCATTGGTATATCAACAGCCTCCCTCGGCACCACCATAATGGTCACAGATGCTTGGGAGGACCCCGGATCTTTTGAAATATCAATCTTCACCGCGAAGCTTTTCTTAAACTCCTCACGGCGTCGGTTTTTCTCTGCTTCTTGCCTTCTATGCCGCATAGCCTCAACCTCGCCAGTGGCTTGTCGCTGCCTGGAGAGGGATATGCGTGCGTATATGGAGATAGTATCTAGACTCGTGTGTTTATTGAAATGTATCCATGTATGAATTTGTATGTGCATGTAGGAAGCATACTACAGTAAAATGTTCTTTTGAAAACACGAAAGCGATTATAGTAATAATGATTATAATGATATTAAAAGAAAATAGCAAATATTGGTTATTTCAATGTGAAGTCTGTATTAATAAAACTCCCCCTCAGAAGGTAGGTACCTAGGGATAAGTTTCTACTAAGGTTTTTCCCCTATCTAATCGACCTCCCAAGTTGAAGTCATAAGAGGTCAACTTCCAATGGGCAACTGGATAAGATTCCTATAGGGGAAGATGAGGAAACCAACTGGATAAGATTCCTATGGGGGACACCTTTTTGTCGAATGAGTCTTGATAACCACCAAAAAAACATGATTTTCTCTGTGGGGTTGATTAATTGGGTGGTACACAATCTGGTATATTAATCAGGGAACCAACCCATTTTAGTATTGCCCAAACATTATTCCTGTGTGGGCGTTTTCCTAGTGATATATTGATCCTGACTTGACATTAATGATAATTTATAATGACAATGATAAGGATAATGATAATGATGATCAGAATACAGAAATGAAAACAATAACAATAACAATAGTAGTGTGTGTGCGTGTGCGTGTGTTTGTGTATGCAGATTTGTGCCATTCTATTTCAAGAAACACCGAGGAAGGGATGGTCTCATAGGTTTGCGGTCAAGGGGTGGCACAGTCCGGGACACCACACCGGTGCCAAGACATACACCAGCGACAGCTCGAACCGGAAGATAGCGGTCCCAGCTAGAAACAAGATAGGGCAGGAACCTACCGGGTACAGTCGAGACAATCTGCAAGGTTGAGCGCTCCGCTCCGGCAAATCATGTTGCAGCTATCTCAAGTCCCCTTTTGAAATCATCCACAGGGTCGGCCTGAATCTGCTCTGAATTCTTGTGGCTGCTTGCTCTGTCTCCTGCACTTGGTGCGACCAAAAGGAAGGACCAGGATGATAGCTGGATGCTGCTCTAAGCGTTCAGATGTTCCATGCTGCCACAGAATGTCCTGACTTTGGGCTTCACCATTTTTTTGGGGAGAAATGAAACTTGAAAGCAGCCACCAGCAATGCTAACATAGATCATACAGATTTACGAAGCAAACATGTTGTCACCCAACTCACATCACTGGCCCCTACCATGGACCACTGCCATCCGCTGCAGCCATCCGTTCCTGTTTCTCCTTTCGCCGTGCGTCCACTTCTCGCTGCGCCGCTCTTTGTCGGTACCTCGCTTGGATCGCCGTGGCGGCCCCTTTCTGCTCCCGCATCTCTTGAACCTCCTGGCACGGTGCCCATGGGATTTTTGAAGCTATAAGTTGGGATGCAACCCAGAGAGTTTCTATGGTTACAAATCCACTTATAACATCTTATAACTGGAACTGCACCTCAATCAAGCATCCCCAAATGTTCCGCCCAAATTTTCCGGGTGTTATACACCATTTTCTCGGGGGTTGTGGCATTAGCTTTATCACATTGAACTGGGGAACACCATGGAGCACCCAAAATCTGCAGGGAAACAGCAGCAGCAGCACCCTCAAGTGCAATCTCATGTCCTTCCCTGCTTTCTTCCCGCGATATCTCGCTTGAATTTTCGCAGCCGCAGCACTTTCCTCTTGCTTCTCTTGCTGCTTTTTGGCCACTTCCTCGATAGCAAAAAACATTCGAAAACATGCCATGCCCCAAAATTTCCGCCCTGGTCATCCGATCCCAGAGTATGCTCAACTAACCATTCTTTTGGGATGCCCATGGCATCAGTGCGCCTTTTTGGCCTGCTTCTGCCTAAAATTTGCTTGAATCTTCGTTGCTGCATTCTCCTCCTCCTCTTTCAGAGATTGCAGGCCCCGCAAGCCCTTGACGACCACCTAAGATCGTGATGCTGGCAGTTGCCAGTGATGGCTGTTTTCAGGAAACCGCGCTCTACAACCAGCACCATTCACCAGGTGTCCATCAGGACCGGAATTTACGGACGCATTTGTTCAAACAAAAAAATGCCCGATTTCCATCGCCCCCATCATTCATCTGAGGCGCCCCAGGGGGCGGTGAGTCCGAATCCCTCATGCTCTCATAGTCCAGCACACTTCGAGCCAGACTCTTTCGCAGCTTCAAGGGGGGAACCACCACTTCTTCCTCAAGCTCCTGAGGCTACTCAGGGACATGGAAAACTGAAACAGGTCCAAGTAATCTTTTCGCCACTTATGGATCCCTTAAAGACGAAAGGGACTGAAGTTCTGGCACACTCTTTGAAGCTGTCCCCATTATATATCTTAAAAATTACCATGTGGCAGGAAACCAAGCCTGTTTCCACCAAACATCCCCCATGCTGCCAGTCCTGAAGTTTTACATCTCCATAACCGCGGCTGGGAAAGTCGTAGGTCTTCTCGTAGATGATGGGCGTAAAGCGTTCCTCGGAGAAATGCCCGGGCACTTTGGAAGATCGCTGCAGGCCGAGCTCCGTGGAGGTCTTCTGCCTGGGCGTCATGGGCCCGGTGATCTTCGCGTAGAACTTCTGCCGCGGGGCCATGCGGAGGGGCTTCGGGGCCGAAGGGGCCATGGGGATGGGAGGCGGCTTGGTGCAGTTCTCCCGGTACCAACTGGTCACTTCCTTGGCATCTAAGGTCTGTCACAGAAGAGTCACGGATCAATCCATCCCATGTTGTTGTTTGAATGGCATCTGGTCAAGTGAACCTGCTTCTATCCAAAGTACTTGGATATTATCAGGCTTGGATTTCAATCTAGGCTGCGCATTCCCTTTAAAAAAAAAGACATCTGCTGTTTTTGCCAGACTCCTCTGGGGTCCAGTACTCCAAATCGCTCACCGCATTGGCAATGAGGGTTTGATGATCGGCATCTCTCACACCCGCGCGTGTCAAGCCTTTTTGAAGCATTCCCTTTGAGTAGAGCTCCTGTGCCGTTCGCAAGCCGAGGTGGTCAAAAGGATATGATATGACTTCAGTAGGTATAGCAGAAACAAAATAATAGGCCCAAGTACCCTCCAGAAATCAAACATGACTATGGAAAGTGGACCCCACTGATACCCCATAGTATGTTAAATCGCCAGATGGTACAAGGTTGAGGACATGACCATCCCACAATCCGCCACCGCAATAGAAATACCACGTTCCAGCACACGGGGGGAAAAATAAAATCCTCAAATCCTCCAACCACCATTCTTGTGGGTTTTCCCCAGCTAATTATGTTTGCTTATGTCAACCCCGGATTAATAAAACCCATTAATCATATTCATGAGAACCCCAACCCCAAATTATGTTTCCATCTTTTAGGGGTGGCTCCCTCTACCTCTACCTCCACCAACCCGCTACCCCAACGCCCAGTTTGATCATGCTATAGTAAATAATATGGACATATTATATACATATATAATATATAGACATGTGTAGAAAAAAATCCCACTGCTCCATTTAGTTCGGGAATTTTCCAGCCACATGGCTGACTACCGCAGGGTAAGTCCATGAATCTCCTATGATTATCCCATCATTATCTCTATCAAACCATATCAAATCATATAAGGCCATATTAAACTACCACTAATATCCACTATTATTAAGTGAATAAAAACTAGTAAAGAGATTCAACAATCATCATTATCTATTCATTTTTCCAAACAAACTCACTCATCTATCCCAAAAGATTACACTCCAGTGGGGTCATTTTTTGGGGCCCCCATCCCAGCGCCATCCGCCCGCCATCCCCCGACGACCTGCAACGTCCCGCCGTTGATCTGCGCCATGGCCGCCCCATACTGCGGCAGCCCACAGACCGTCTCCACGAAGGTGGCGACGTCGCGGCCACTCCAGTGCTGCCACGCCATGGCGACCGCTGGCGATGGCGTAAAACACCCTGCTGACTGAGGCGGAAAAGGGCGGGACCAAACGGACGGATTCCTGGGAAAAATATGGAAAAATACTGAGAAAATTCAAAATTCCATGGAAGATTGGTGAAAAGCTTAGAAAAACAGATGAACGTGTGATAAATGATGATTAAATGATGGCTGCATTGACCCAATCCCAGCCCATTGAGCTCCCCCAACAGGTGCCACAGGCAGGGGCTTCTTGAGACGTTTGTGCGCCCAATGGTCCAAGAAAGTGAATTCCTGCAGCTCAAACAACGGGAAAACGAGTGAATAAAGTGGGAAATAAAGGAAAAACATACAAAATGGTGATATAATGGGGACGCAAGTGGAGATCATATGTAAAACTAAAGATTATTTTTGGGCGTGTCTGAACATGACGCCAGCAACCAATTGCATTTCGAAAAGGGAAATTAAGGCTTTAAACCATGGGATTTTGGGGAAGCTCATTTTCAGACACACCAAAACAGCAAATGGATGAAGCCATACCCTTGCATCGGTCTCCAGTGTCATATGGCCTCTAAAGTCACGGTTCCCGCTCCATGCAAATCCAAGGCCTTGGTAGCTGTCAGCTGCGGAGGTCCCAGGGAGACTATGAAATGCGGCACAGCTCAGAGCCCCCACATCAAAGAGGCATCTGTTGGACACAGCGAAGCCACGTGAGCGGATGATTGCCTCGACATGGGGTTGCCAATGACCAACACAATTATGGATTTAGCCACCAGCCAAAGAGTGGATGATGAGTCGATGCAGCCAACAGGATTGTTTTGGATGCAACCGCTAAAAATGTGGAAACACATGGAGAAAAAATGAGATACTTACCAACAAAAAGAATACAAAAAATACAAAAATGTTAAAGCGACAGCAAGACTTTGCTTATTCGGCGGAAGTTGGTGTGGCAACCGAAAAAGGAACACAAATTGATGCAACAAAATTGGTCGTGTTTGAAATTAAAAGGATCTGTTTAGGATATTCTTCTGGAGGTAAACAGTCGGGGTTGGCGAATGTCGGCAGGGAGCACCAATCGTGCGGGGTGAAGTCCAACTGAATGGCTGGTTATCAGTGACTCTTTGCATGCAGCCGTCCAATTTCACAATTCGCGGTATATCAAAAATCGTGAACCAATAGCCATTGAACCAACCCACAGTAGCCATCAAACTGTCAGATCTGAGCCACTGCAACTCAATATGAAGATGCAAACCACCAGGACAGCTACCTGTGAATGGCTTAGACCATAGAAAATACAGAAGTGCATAGCCATTCGGCCGAAACGAACCGATGTTCCAGACCAGGGCCCTGCGATGGCCCTGCGTCGCCTGCTCTTCTGCCCATTGCATGAACCTGAAGCTGTCCCAGGCGCTCAAACTGCACCACTTCAGGTGCAAGACTCTCCCCAGAAAATCGGTGACCTGCAGTCATCTCATGTTCCCAACCTTCAAATTGTTCATTTAAACTTCTGACAGCTTTGAATGATAAGAAACTATGGTTCGTACTAAATTTGCCGCATTTCCTTGGCCAATAGATCCCCAAATCATCCAAAATGTATCCAAAAAAAAGATGGCCAGTTTGGGGTAAGTATCCATTTTGAGACAACCCCCAGGTGTTTGTCGGAAAAAATGTCTCCCACAATATCCCCATTAATGGTCCCATCGTTCCACCGAGTGGCTCATGGAAGTTCATCCGCGTCGCCCAGGCCTTCGGAACTTCCTGAAGTTGCACTGCTTCCCCCAAAAAGATGGACATGTAAAATCCCACGAAAACTTTGGATACATGACTTTTTCGATCTATATTTTCTGGAGTTTCCTGTTTTCTTATCATGATTGTCCAGGAATCGAGCAGGAATTGCTGGATTTACTCATCTGCTGGTAAATCACGTGTCTATATTTTTGGGGTTGCTATAAATGTACTGTGTATATATTTATATATTATATATATACATATCTATCTATACTGATCCCATCACTCGCTGGCTATAATCTTAAAAATATCTGAAATACATTGAAATACCGTACCAATGTATAGATCCGATACTAAATCGGAGTTTCCAAATTCTAGCTTTTAATATTCCGGGGAGGGGGGTGTTCTTTAAAACTCAATACCATTTCCGAAAATGAGATTTAAATATTATATTTATATGACTTAAAGCTTTTTCTGGTAGGATTCTCGGTACTTAATTATCAAAGATGGTTGGTGCTGGTGATGCCCAGACGCCACAAGCTCCCCCATTGGCACCTCCCATGCCTGTCTGGCACCACCCTTGTACACCTTGAAAAGGCCTCCCAACGCAGAAGGAGCTGTGGCTAGTGATGACTGGTGAAACCATTTGGAGGTCCCAGTGCCAATGGGATCTATGGGATCTGGAGGAATTTCCACCTTTTCTTGCCGTGGCATCGGGGGTCCCTCTCGGCCAACGGCACTAGCACCGCAGGCGGAGGGTCAAAGTCAGGGCTATCCATTCCAGCCCATGGCCAGTCACGTTTGGAGTCTGAGATTTTTGGATACCTTGTAGCGGATGGTTTGCTGATTGAAAATATCAACATGTACCTGGATCCTGGATTACCATCAAATTACTATCCAATTGGCTTTGGATAACTCAAACTATCATCAAAGAACCTCCGAATTTTGTAAACATATTGATGCCCAAAAAGTGGATGAATCTGGACGACCAACAACTTGGCTTGGCGACTCTGCGATAGCCCCTGCTGCCCCGGCGGCAGTGAAACTGCAGACTGCAGAATCGCATGCAGCAGTGAGACATGTTTTTACAACCTTCATTGAAGGTTTGGTTCTTGAGCAAATTTAGCTCAAAAAAAAACTGAAACTGAGACGACTTCACTACGAAAGATGGAGCGCTAGCACACCTGCAAGACACCGAGGGGGAGCCAAACCAGTGTGTGGAATACATCCGTCGCTTTGGTGGGATCCTACACCCTCTGGAAGTAGAACTGGCCTCACTGGTCAAAGTCTTTCAGCTGCTTATTGAGCTCCTGGCGAATGGGGAGATTCACCAGGAAAGAATTGGATTGTCGGTCAGATTGGAACAAAAGGATGCAGGAAGTTTGGAGAAAGGTGGATTTTATGTGCATTTGTTTTATTTGAGGGACTTTTATAAGTTGTATTTCTTTACCTTTCTGGCAGAACGAAATCCCTGAGCTTTCGCTTCAGCAGCCCCTGCGCTCCTCAATCTCTTCTCTTTGCTCCTCTAGCTCCCCTGGCCACCAGTGAACTTCTCATGGCAACCACTGGGTCACTGGGTCAAATTGGCTGAGCCCTCCACGTTCCAGGTCGGCGCGGTTGCTGGTCTGCATGCCCTGGCCCATATTTGCCAGCTCCTCCAAAAAATGGGACGATTTGCCAAAGGCCCAGTTCCAGTTCTAGATGAAACTCTGTGCACATGGCAAAAAAAAAACACACATAACCTATGTAATCCCAGGTGTGGAGCTGATTTCGACCCCACATCCACCTAGGACCTAGAATTGACCAGAGAAAAAAAAGAGGAAAACAACACTGAAGTTGTAACCCCGACTACTCTCAGACTGTTCTACTTATCAGTATTTATCAGTGTTTTCCCTCTTTAAACTGGCCAGTTGGAATGTGGTACCCCCCAGTTATAAGTTAGTTTATAACCCCCATCAACTATAGATATATCTACCATAAGTCCCACTTATTGTAGTTATAAACCAACTTAGCTATCTATGGGGCACCACTATGTGGAATCTTTTTTCCACTTGGTCCTGCGCTTGCCGCTCATGCTTCAGGGCATTGATCTCCCTCCGCAGGTCGTTGATTTCCCGGATCAGCGAGACATTCTCCTCGGACAAACGTCCCAGAGTCCAACATGGGGACTGCTGTGGTAAACCCCAATGTTACCATGGGAATCCCTGGGGTAAACATACAAAAAAAATGTTGCGATGTGGAAAACCATGGTTTCCTGTTTGGAAAATGATCTACGGAATCTACATGAATGGTGGATTTTCCACATCTATGTTGGTTTAAGGAAGGGCATGTTGAAGCACAAAACAATTCCCAGTCCCAAACAAACATTCTCATTGGGTTTGCCAGATCGTTTCCCCAAGCAAGACCCTAAGGATAGAAATAGAAAATACACGGAGGTTTCCATAAATGGGATACCCCAAGCCCCAAAATTGATGGTTTATAATGGAAAATCCTTTGAACATGGATAATTTAGGGTACCCCCCATTTATGGAAACCCTCACATCTGTAATGGGAACATGATTTCTTGAAAAAAACAAATGTGGAACTGTGGAAGCCACCTACTTCTCATAAGAAAATCACTTTTCAACACCAAACATGCCAAATTATACGGGCCACAAGTCATTGATTTCCCGCCTGCATGATGCGCATGTTGTCAATGCGATGAGCCTGGCTATCCTGCAAGGGCTTCTACAAAATTGGGGACACCATGAGTCCGAAATTGATGTGTGGTTTAGTGGCAGCATCTCTCGGTTGAAACGGGTTTCTCTGAAAATAGGGTTCCCTAAAGTCCAGCGGTTATCATGATTTTCCACTTAAATTGGTTATTTAAGGTGACACACCCAAATGCGCCCTGAAGTTTCAGACATACACTGTGGCCCCTCCATGAAAGAATTTTGTCACTGCTTACTTCAAAACTGCAGCTGCCCAGTTCCCCACTTTTGTGCACACCACCGTTGTTCTGTGCCCGTTTGCTCTAAACAAACTATTTCAATTATGTCCAGTGGCTGCCATGACTGGTTTGGCCAAATCCGTGCCTTTTCCAACTTTCGCTTCAAGGAGTCGACCGACTTCTCAAGGTAGTCTCGTTGCCTGTTCCGGGTGCACCGGGGACCACGCAGCGCTGTCAGCAATTCCAACACGCAGATGGTCGAATTCCCATCCTTTCAAAGCATTTTACAGCTGGTGCTTATGAATCCCTGGACATCCCTGGACCAAGTACGCACTGCCACAATCCACTGGCATAGTGGGAGAAATAGCTCAATCATCATTTCGTTGTCAACCCATCTTTCCGGCCAAAAAGGACAGTTGTTGTCAAATCTAGCTCCAACTAGCTCCCGGCGAAGATGGAGACCCCTTCCCAACTGTCCCTAGCTCCCAACTGTAACCATCGCTTTCAGCCTGTTGTACTCCTTCTGCATGTCGGTATCCAGATCTTGCCTCTTGGCACCTCCCTGGACATACTTCCTGACCCAGCCGAGTCGAGTACCCAAAATTCGTCAACTCAATGCGGCCAAAAACAGGTGGGTTTTAAAACATAGCTATTAATGTGGGTAAAACAATGGGTAAAACCATTTCATAAACCATCCCCCAAATTTACCATAAATATATAGGTGATATAAACTTCCCAGTCATGGGTGGTAAACATGGCATTGTTTTACCCACCTTTTTCCCCAGGTCCTGTAGAGTGCGGTGACGCTCTCCTTGAGCGCCTTCGGTTCGGAAATGGTTTCCAGGCCTCGCTCGGCGATTGGACGATAAAAAAAGCCTCCGTTCATAAAAATGTTCCAATTCTCCACGATAATTCTAAACATATCATTATATATTCATACATAATTCATATATATATATATATTATTATTATTATTACTATTATTATTATTTATATTATATTATATTATATTATATTATATTATATATATATGTGTGTGTGTGCGTGTATGTATATTACTGGTCTATCCAAATGAAATCACCATGAATCGTCCATAGATTCACCATATTTCACCATGGATGGCCATTGGTCATCCAACTTGCTCCACTGACGCTTTTGACGGCCAAGGTGCAATCGCTGAGGTCCAACTTGAAGCGTTTGATGAGAGACAAGTCTTCTCGCAGCTTCCTGGAAGTGGTGAGCCTATGTGACCAGCCAGGCCAACGTCACGTCGGATAAGACGTGACGGAAATCCATGGGAAATCCCTTGTGAGGTGAGGTGGTTGATGATGATTTGATGATGGTTTTGCATTGTGCTTTCAAGGAATCAAGTTGCCATAAGTTGCCTGATTCCGGCACATAAAATGAATGCTTTAAGAAAATCGACGACCCTGACGACCCTCTACGCAAAACAAACTCGTGGACCCAAAAAACTTCATCGCCGCGTCCTTTTCTGCGATTTAATCTCCTACAGTCGCGTGCCGAGGACGCGAGATTGAAGCATAAGGGTGCCAGTCGAGGACATGTTCAACGGTTCATTAGCTCACAACATTTCCCGTAATTTGAAAAAAAGGGGATACGACACAAACAGCACAAATCGACAGAACAGCTGCAAATTCAACACCCACCAAGTTCCTCTTGCAAAGCCCTCTGCTTCATCTGCAGCTGTGATATTTGCAAGGCCTCAAGGATCAAGACACAGCGGTGTACAGCGAGATGCTGGTGGGTGGCAGCCATCTCCAGCGGTAAACTGAGCTCCTGGCCAACTGCTTGTTTTTGCCTCGGCCGACACGAAATCCCTCCCCTCTACCTTGAAAGGTCCCTCCAGCAGCACGAAAGATCATGAAAAGAAGCAACATGTCTGTGGGTCAAAACCCTGGTACCCGGATGGTACCCTAAAAAAAGCTGGCCAATGGATAGTTATTCCCCCAGTCATACGACAATAAATCATCATTCAACAGGTTCTGACCCATGCCCAATAAACTACACTAACATCGATCCAACAAGAAACGCTTGTAGTCGTTCAGCTCGTCTTCCATCGCTCTGGTTTGCGTTTTCATTGAAGCAATGTCTGCAGTCTTGGGATCAATCTGCGCCTGCCGGGAGGGATGGAACAAGAGCGGATCCGATGAATTTCGCCCCAAGAGGGTGCCTTCAACTCACGAATTTTGTAGTCCAGAACCTCAAGAAACAGGGACAAATGATAGAAGCATCTGCAACAATACTTTTCATCGCAGTGTATAACTGTATATCCATAATACAATGTGTGTGTGTGTGGTTGTGCTTGCGCCTTGGAGACCTATATGCACGGTACATGAGATACACGTTGCCTTCTTATGCTCCGGATGTCTCAGGGTCCAACAAATCGGAACTTCTCAAGCTCTTGGTTCCTGGGCTGACGGCTGACCACAACCAGAAAACATCTCCCAAGAGAACCTGTGAAGTCCTGACAAATCACAGCCAAGTACCACCATATTCGGGGTTGGAAGCTGGAACCCCAACAAACCTGCTGAAAAAATCCAACAAACCTCACCGGGTGGCAGCATCGGTGCAGCTGAGAGACTGCTTCTTGAGATCGAAAATGCGTTGTTCTTTGTCTGCGATGGTCTTGTCTCGCTCTTTGATTTCTTTCTCATTGGAGTCTTTGTCCTGAGCTGCAGCATCAATCCCTTCCAAGGTGGTTTCCAGAATGTCAGCGATTCCCAGCACTCAAAAGGCCCATGGCTTTGGGACGCTTTGGGCTTCGGGTGCAGGTCCGGCCTTCATCAAACCCAGAATTCGCTCTTCGGCTTTGCGGTTTTCATTCGCTTTCTGCTTCACGTTCTCTTCGCTGGTCATCATGCTCGATTGCCTCGGGGGAAGTGGATCCTATCTTAAGCCATGGGCAAACCAGGAAATATGTGTGGTACTTCCAGGGTCAAACACTACCCCAAACCACCAGCTAAGTACTTGCTGAGTTTATCCTCACCATCCCCAAAAAACACAGGACTTGACTAAGTGTCTAAGGCCTAAAGTCTAGAAACCTCAAACAGGCACCAACCATCGCAGCTAAATTCCCAGGTGCAAGTCGATGTGATACTTCTGATGGATGCCAGCTTGACCGCGCAGACGTACTTTGTCATCCTTCTCTTGTGCAAGTTTCTGTTCATACCTGGTGGCAAGGGCCCTGACGATGGGTCATACATTTGATGTACGATTCGGTGCGACATGAAACAGTGAAACGGCCTGAAATGCAGCTGCCAATATCTGATAATCCCAAATATCCATATATATATATATAAATATCCTGTTAGGTTCCTTGATGTTCCTTCCATATCTTGTCAGTTGTTGGGGGTCTACCTGCATCTGTGCTGGATCTAGGTGCATTTCTTTCAGCTCTTCGATTTCTCGATCAGCATCTTGCTCCAGCTGTGCCAACGTTTCCTGACGCGGTTTGCATCTGATTCTGCGCATGGTGCATTGGGACTGTCAGACTTGGGCAATTTTTTCTCGGATGTCCCAGAAATCTCTCCCCAAAACAGTTCTCCGGAAAAAAGATAACCAAAGAGTTTGTAATGGTTTGTGCTGCAGCCCCTTTGTTATTGCAGTAGACCATTCGTTCTTTCAGAACACAAGGCCGACATAGGCGGACTGGACCTAGACTTGCCCCCAGTCACCCAGTCCTGATGATGCTTGAAGGCCAGCTCTTTCTCTTTGATGTCCCTGTCCATGGTCTCCCTGTTGGCACGTTGGATCTTCTCGGCGTCCTGTTTCCTGGGGCCAACTCTGTTGCTTCTATGGTTGCATTCCTCAAGGGTCCTTCCAGTGATTTCAAGTCCGTTTGGGAAATCACGGAACACCCAAGCCAGGTTAATAAACTTGGGAGTTTGCGATCAGAATTTGGTTGTCCAACAGCCGGGCCAAGCACAGCCAAGGCACATTTGCTCAATCACTGCAGCATGTTCCGACAGCAGCGCACCGTGCTGCGCATCCCATTCCTGCTTCTCCCGCTCCTGGCCACGCGGACCACGCGACGCCCCGGAGTCTCTCCCAGTCACCATTGGTGCTGCCAAGTAACCAGGTCGGCTTCAAGCTTCTTGTAGCGCTGATCCTGGGAATTCTAAATGGATCTATATCTATATCTATATCTATATATATATATATGTGTGTGTGTGTGGTGGCTTCTTGAGCTTTCAAGGCAGCATCATGATATATTTAACCACAGCTTTCAAATAGTTTGCCGTTTGCTGGCATTGTTGATTGAAAGCTCACAAAATCACATTGCAAAAGTACGGCCCGGCGTTGATATCAGAGAATGTCCTCCACAATCATCTTCTGGTCGAAAGACTCTTGCTGTTCTTGAAGATACCTTGCATGATTTTCCTCCAGGCTCTTCACGTGCTCTTCCTTGGAGCATGGCAGTCACTGCCCCAAAAAAAATGTGGGAAGGATTCGTAACTTGGAACCCAGGGCCTCTGGCCGCCCCAGGGGGATTTTAAATGCTTTCCTTCGCCCCAGCGGCCATGAAACCAGGTGCCACACCACCTTTTTCAGCAGCGAGGCAAATCCACAGAGCGCACAGCCCTGGATGAAAGTTCTAAGAGTCGCTGAAGGATGACGAATCACTAGAGTCACTAGAGCTGGTATCAGTATCGCAGTGTTTCAGTTTGCCGAGCTCCACCAAGAACCTTGGATGGTGCTTGGCTTTCTTGTAGCGTTTTAGCTCATCCAAGGTGATGTCATTCTCTTTTTCGCCTCCTTTGTTCAGTCTGTAGCGCACCTTATCCAGGAAGATCCAAAGCGCACAATCCCTGCAGCGGTCGTAACAATGATTTCTGTAGAACCTGGGGTGGGTTCTGCAGTAGAACATGACGCTTCCGGGCCCAGGCCGGGCTAAGCCGCCATCGCCGGGTGCGTGTTTTACAACTCGAGCCGCAACAGCCATCGCCAGCACAACCTCATGACATGTCGAGCTTGTAAGCCTGCTGAATCAACCTAACCAGTGGGTCTGGTCATGAATACAATCCTATGGTTGCTCCAAAAATCTGTAACCCAACGGCCCATGGTATAAATCTCACAGGACTTGGAGATACCCAGGATTCATACCATGGGCGGATCACCAAGGGCCAAGGCTCATTTTCCATTTCCATCTCAGCCTTCTCTTCCCTCAGCACTTCGAACTTCCGTCTTTCCGTCTCTATCTCTTCACCTAGCCAGGCACCCATGGGGAAGCTACCCACATGTTTATCCTGTATCTCTGCTTACATCTGGTTAGATTAGTTCCTATGCATTGATCACATCGCTATTTCAAATATTGTAAATGTTGTACCATCCTCCAAACGTTCGTCCATGTTTTGCCGGTTAAATTGTCATGTTTTTTACATAACTTCCCATGTGTTCTGGTTACAATACAATTTTTGCCAGTGGAATTCCAATTCTTGATGGTGTCAAACCACCATCTTTGATGGTTCTTCACCCCTTATCAGCCCCATATCCCAGTCTTGCCGTTCAAAATCCAAATTCTTCCCGGTGAACATCCCGTTTTTCCCAGTGATTTTGTCGAAATCCTTTATGAAAACCGCATCATTCTGCCACTCAGTAGCTGTACTTCTCTTGCATCTCCGCCATCTTCTCCTTGTGCAGTCCATCTCGGTGTCGGAGTTGGAAGGCGATACGCGAGTCCAGTTCTTCTACCTCGGCTGACCCCCAAAAAAAAAAAATCGCAGTCTGAATGTTACTGTTCCTGCGAAACTGAGGGGTTCTGCCAAATCCTGGGATAACATTACACCGCCAGGGGATGAACAAGGGCTGGACAGATCTTGTCATTTTTAGAGGCTAATGATGGGTAAATGATGGGTAAATGATGGGTAAATAGTGGATTAAAGTGATTAAAGTCCAGCAAATCCTTGAAGTTCACCGGAAAAGCTTCTGGGGCCCTGACTCGCCGTTCAAATTCCAAGAGTGTCGCCTGGAATGCGCAATGTCAAGGCCGAATTGGCCCTGCAAAGATCAAAATGATATGGTTTTTTATTCGACATATCTATTTAATTCCATTTATGACTATATAATCACTTAGAATCAAAATCCCATGAAAATTGGCTTTAGGATACCCTGAAAAGTCTGGAAGGAACACCCTACTGTCACCGTTTTCAAAACGGCCCAGCGGGCCCATCGCAGCTTCCACCCAGCCACCTGTTTCTCATCCAGGAACTGTCGCGTCACCAGGATCTCGTCCGCATATCCCAAGCCAAAGTCCTCCCGGAACCGAAGAAAAAAGCAATCTGTCAATTGGAAAACCTTGGAGGGCAATAAATGCAATATTACAATTGGAAATATATGGAACATATGTATATATATATATATCATCTGTATATATATATATATGTATATATACATATATCTACATATATATATATATATACATATACATATACGTGTATACATGTATATAATATTATATGTATATTATATATCTCTCTCTGTGTGTGTGTCTGTGTGTACATTCATTAACGGATATGAGCGAATATTCCATTCCATCTTCTGACAGTATTGGAAAATCAGCTTACAGGTGGTCCATCTCTACCGCACATCGTCCTTCTCGGGCTTGGCGGGGCCAAGCTTTTTGATGTCAAAGATGCACAAACAGCCATCATCCCCTGTGCTAAAGAGGTACAGCCTCAGATGTCAAATGCTGCATGGCTGAGATTGCAGCTTCAGATCGAGCCATGGACATGAGTCATTTCACCCCAAAAAAAATGGTTGTAACATCGCAGCAAATGCCATGGATAGAATAGATGACATCTAGAATCATACCTAGGAACTCCAAAAGGACATAATTTCAGCCTGGAGAAGGAAAAGAAACTTTTAGGGTCTCAGACTAAAATTTTGGTCTGAGGGTGACATCAGGCTATTTTCTGATTTTCAGGCTGATTTGTTTGAATCTCAACCTGAATTTGGTAAGAAATCAGGCTCAAACTAGGAAAGAACTCAAGAACTGCTTGGTCATCCCGATGCTTACCGTATCCTGTTCTCGTCCGTAAAGTTACCAGACTGTGGCACGCTTGACGTGTATTGGTGGTAAAAGACATGTGTTGCAAGCTTGCACAGGTTCATGACGCATCTTATTTCCACTATATTGGTTTTGAGACCCTGGGATTTCAAGCTTGATTTGGAATTGCAAACCTGAATTGATGAAAAAATCGGGCTGAATTTGGTCAACGACCAAAAAAGGTGCCGAAACTCAAAATGTTCAGATGTTTCATGTTTTTTCTTGCAGTTCAAATCCTGAATTATCATGTTTTTTTGGAATTCAAACCATGCTTGAATTATATATACCTATCACCATGTCACAGAATCATCTTTGAATACGAAGTTATAGCTTGGGGATGGAAACCAGTCAGATTTACTCACTCATCAGCTAACCGGACTGCTGCTTTGTGCTTCTGACATTGCTGATTTGCAGGAAGTTTGCATGATATTATGGGACAGTTTCTTCTGGGATTTCTCAGCAATTATGCACCCCCTTATCCATGCCATTCACTATGTGAAATTGATTTCAATACCATTGAACCAGCATTTTTGGCGCAAAGTGCCACGGGCGATTTTTTGTTGGCTCATGTTGGCTCGGGCCCAAAATATCGGTTCAGGCTAAAGATGCAGTCTGCATTCAGACCATTACCCTCTGGTAAACTAACATAGCTATTGAAAATGGCCATTTATAGTGGATTTTCCCATTAAAAATTGTGATTTTCCATAGCTATGTTAAATTACCAGAGGGTATTATGGCCTGGGGATTTTGTGACATCCGACTTGACCTCTGCCAAGCCACTCATCCCAGGTGACGCGGATCCGAGAAACAGGAGCTGCATGCGCCTGCGGATCGGTGCCATGACAGTACTTGGGTACTCCAAGTGTAGCCATTGAAAGGGGAAAAATATGGGAAAAATATGGGAAAATATGGGAAAATATGGGTTTGGGGGCACGCTATTTTCAAACAAAGCCACTTCGACAAGTGCAATTTCGCAGAAACCTTCCACGGAGAACTTCCGCAAAATTTCTCCAGTGGCGATGCTTTTCGTGACGTGGCCGTCGGGGCCTGGTACTCCACGTAGTCGCCAGTCAGAGGGAAGTTATAACACCGCAAGGACCCAGGCATTTCAGGCCTGGTCGTGGAGGGTAGCTGCCCAAATTGGATGGGGAACCTGGGACACCTGGGACACCATTGGACCAAAGGACCAAAGCTGCCGGCAGGTTTGGGCACTGTTCAAAGTTGGCTCGGGTGAACTTTGGGCAGAAAGATTGTGTGAAAGATTTTTCGTCCATTGGGATAATATCCCAATATTATTCATATCTAATATAATATATATATATATCATATCTCATTCCAGGGGCTGCCATTGACCCCATCCGATCTCCCCGAGCCAAGGGACTCTGCCACGCCAGCAATCAATGCACGGGTGCATGGCGCCAGTGCCAGCTGTCCCAGGGTGGCGTTGGACTCCAAATAGTTGGTCAGTTGGCTCTCTCGAACCTACGGCGCGGCGAAGCGGCAGCGAGTTGGGAAGGGAAGAAGTGGAGAGAGCGGAGAGACGGCGCCATGAAACAATGGCCACAAAAATGGCCCTAGATGGTATGTATAGTCGGTATAGTAGCTCCACTTTAAAATCAATGCGAATTCTTCTCTGATCCTCGGTGGGTCTAGGTTGGAACCTCTTGTGTTCCATTCGGGGGGCCAAGGATTTCGAGACAGCCCAAAACAACAAATCGAGACACGGGTTTTTCTGATCCCCAAGATCCACTGAATCCAATGGTTTATTCGTCCCAGCCATCTCCTGCCTCCTTCAACATCTTGTCAGATCCAGCCACATACAGCGTGGTGGTTTGGGTGGTTGCTTCGAAGTCGGTCAGGGCCACAATACCTCACCATACTCCCTTGCGCACACCCTGATACTCAGTATCAAATGCCAGAAAAAAATCAGACATGTGGTAACCCCAATGCCATGAACAACTACCATGTGGAGATGGTTCGTTCCGACTATTTCTGGGACTGATATGACTGATATGGATGGTTTATTTATTGGGCAAACCACATTACAATACCAAGTTGCTGGTAAAGTTGGTTCCCTTCTGTGACCACTCCTCAGCATGAGGCACAACGTTGGAGAATGACACGTTTGGGGCTCGAACATTCTTGTCCAAACATCAGTGTCAAATTGATCAAGTAATGAAGCGCTTTCACACCTTAATCATAGGTCACTGAATGGAAATTGGTCTATTTTCCGTACCAACAAAGGAAGCTTCAAGTGAAGGGACCCTCCGGTTATTTTCACAGATGTTCTGTCCGAGCGTCAGACACGCGGCGACCCTCTTTCAGGATGTCATACTCATAAGTGGCGCCATCTTGGCCGGTGGACACCAGGTGGAAGTCATCGCTGGTCCAACACACCGCCTTCACCTCAGTGAAGGCAACCGACCTTCCTTTTTTGGCCCAAAAAAAAAACGAGAGGCTCCAGTTCTATCCCCATACCCTCTGGTAAACTAACATAACTATGGACAATCACCATTTTTCATGGGAAAATCCACTATGAATGGCCATTTTCAATAGCTATGTTAGTCATTACCAGAGGGTAATTTTCTCACAAACACCAGAACTGAAATATTCACAAACATCACAAGCATCACATCCCATCAAATCATGAGCACTTTCAGAAGAATGTGGCACACCCAAAGCCACAACCACTAATGATTTACGCATGTTGCCCAAATGATACAATCGGGTAAATGGGCTTCCAGTAACCTGCCATAGCTGTGGAAATTCATGAGATTCTTTTAGAAATGATCCATGGATTCTCCCGCATCTATGTGAGTTGCTGGGGGTATTTCACCAATATGCCATTAATATATCACAAAAAAAACCATTGTATCCCGATGTTTTCCCCATTTTTATCCACCAGTTGCCCTCCAGGACTCAAACATGGCAACGGAAAATTACGATATCTATAGATAGTTTTCCCCATTTAAAACGGGGGATTTCCCAGCCACGTTTGCACTGGGCACCTTGGACTGATGACCTCGAAGGTTGCAGACCACTTCGCAGGTGTAGGTCTTGTAGACCTCATCGGGAAAAAAATGATCAATGGATTGGTTTAAAAGAAAATTTACAGGAAAGCCCCATATTGAATTGGAAAATCCATGGTTTCCGGTTAAGATGTTCCCTTAAACCAATCCAACCAATCCATTGAAATGAAGCTTTCATTGGGAAAAGCCGTGGAAATGGAGAATTTTCCAGCAAGCCATGATTGCCTGAGGGGATGTGCCACCAGCCATTTATGGATTCAACGTCTGTATTCCTATGGGTTGTAAAAATGCCGCGTATTTGGCCATTGGTTGATTCGAAATCCCCGGCTGTTCTAACAAAATATGATGATCCTTGTACCTCCATTCATTGGCGGGTGAAATCACCATTTATCTCCGTTTCATGGGTTAAATATGGTTAAATCCCCATTGAAACTCCCAGTGGTTGGATGTCCCCATGTTAATCCAAGCCCCAACTGGAAATCCCATGGAAATTTCCTGGTGAAATCCCATGGCCATTGGATCCGGATCCAGACCTGGATGGTGTTGGAGTTCACGGCTGCAAAGAATTGGCCCCCATGGCTGAAGCGCGTCTCTCTGCAAGCCTCAAAAAGCCCAGAGGCCCAGAGGGCCCATGGCTAGATTTACCTATGAAAACATGGTGGTTATCCATGAAAACATGGTGGCTTTCCATTTTCCATATTATCTTGGGTTAGCAGAGGTTAAAGCTCTCTAGGCCACGCGATTTTAAAGTCTTTTTGTCTCCATCGCCTCCAAAAAATTCAGCTAAGCCCATGGGATCCATGGCCCCAGCCTTGATGGGGATCTCCTTGTAGGTCCTGAAATCCTCCATGAGGAGATTCATCAAGCGCACCTTATCGGCAAAGCCCACGATCAAATGGAAGCCGCTCGGGTGGAAGGCCACGGAGAAGGCTTCCTGGAGGGAAAATGATGAAAGATTTACGGAACATGTTGGGAAATTTACAGGACATTGGCAGAAATTGGGAAAAAACAAGAAAAATTGAGGAAAATGGAGAAAAAACTGATAAAAATGGGGATCTCTAGACTCGAGCAGCTTGGTTTCAACTGGAAAATGTCATCCTGATGCATCAACTCTGGGCAAAACAAGAACTTTGGACTCCAAGTACAGGTCCACAGCCAACAATATAAGTCAGCCGAATATACGTCGGCCGCCCCATGTCCTCATTGAAGACCTTGCACAGTTCTTGCGTCCGATCGACGAAATTCCAGATTCGCACCGTCTTGTCCGTGCCTTGGGACTTTTCGAACGACACCGAAGGGAACAAAGCTTCAGACGTTCACGCTTCCACCGGAAATCTATTTCAAGCGTTGAAAGCAAGTTCCCAAAAATCCGCCCACACCGCTTTGGCGGTGAAGGCGTGCTTATTGGGGGGCAAAACAGCAACACTAAATGCTCAATGACATTTGTTAATATAGCAGTCGCTATATCAGCTTTAGCTGGGGGGGGGCCAAAAACGGTTTCGCACCGAGACCAGAATACGGTGGTGTTTGCGACATTTTTCGAGGATTTTTGGGTGTCTGAGCGCAAGAGGGTATTGAAATGGAATTTTGGGTCATTTTGGTAGCTTTCCGGCAATGGAAAAACGGCCAAAAATGAAAAAAACATTGTACATAGCAAGATTTTGCAGGGTTTTTGGATGCCAGAGCATTGAAAACACTGCAAAAACAAGTGTTTTGGACTGACGTTATAGCAAAAAACGTGTAAATTACCGTATGCTTGACTGGAAACATTACAAAAACACTGTCAAAAGCAATGTTTTGGAAGGATTTACTGCCTTTATGGCAAAAAACGTGTAAATTACCGTCTGTTTGACTGGAAACATTGGAAAAACACTGTCAAAAACAATGTTTTGGAAGGATTTCTATATATATATATATGTTGGAGTTGGCTACCGGCATTGGAACATGGAAAAATTGAAGAAAACACTGTAAATAGCGGTATTTTCAACGGTTGGGGAGATAAGGGAATTGGAAGCATTGTCGAACATGATGTTTTCGACCGGTTTTATGGCGACAAAAGTGTAAAGTACCGTGCTTTGAAGGAAACCGTTGCAAAAACATGGAAACACATTCAAAGAACACGGGATTTGGGGGACTATCTAGGCGTCGTTGTCTAGCTATTTGAAATTCCGCAGCTTTCCGCAGCTTGGAGAGCCTCCAAGGGAGGGAAAAGTGAAAATTCCATAGCTTGGGAAGCTGTCACGGCGGGGAAAAGTGAAAATTCCCTAGCTTGGGGAGCCCCCACGGGGGGGAAAAGTGAAAATTCCCTAGCTTGGGGAGCCCCCACGGGGGGAAAAGTGAAAATTCCCTAGCTTGGGGAGCCCCCACGGGGGGGAAAAGTGAAAATTCCCTAGCTTGGGGAGCCCCCACGGGGGGGAAAAGTGAAAATTCCCTAGCTTGGGGAGCCCCCACGGGGGGGAAAAGTGAAAATTCCCTAGCTTGGGGAGCCCCCACGGGGGGGAAAAGTGAAAATTCCCTAGCTTGGGGAGCCCCCACGGGGGAAAACCACCCTTAGCCCCTCTCACGGACCGAAATAAACCTGCGGTGTGGGCGGCCACCCCACGCGAAGCGGGGTGAATAACGGAACATCACCGGAAAAAAAAAAGCTCTGCCCAACAAGGGGCACTGGTGGCAATCAGCAACCACTCCATCCCATGCCAAGGTGCCACAGGTCACCACCAGCGGTTTTCGGACACAAACGTCCAAGCCAAAGATGGGCCTGGGGAGAATCCACATCCACTTTCCCAGCTACAATGGAAAATGTATGGAAAATGTATGGCTGGTTGGTGGTTTCAACCCCTCTGAAAAATTTTAGCAAGTTGGGATGATTATTCCATATATTATGGAAAAATAAAATTCATGTTCCAAACCACCAACCAGATTGGAGATGTATAGCTAGCATTCATCCGTGCGTCAGGTTTCAAGGTCCTGGCCCTGTGTGAAAGGACGTCAGGGCGTGCTCCACGTTGCCCTCTTCGGCTTTCAGGAAATCCGTGGGGCTGAGCGAAAACCTGGGGCATCGCAGTCACTACCCTCTGCTAATTCAACAGGTTGCTATTGAAAATGGCCCATTTATAGTGTATTTGCCTATTAAAGATGGTGATTTCCATAGCTTTTTGATCTGTTTGTATGTTTACCAGATGGTACAGTAGCATCTGTTTTCTGTTCACCAAGTGACGTTAGCAGCTGATTGCTGCTGGTAGCAATGGCCACTGTTTCCTCTGCTGGGCTCACGGTCATGGCCTCAGTCAACTCCACTGAAGGTGAAAATAGCGTTGCCATCAAAACACAGGCTGTTGAAGCTGTATAAGCTGTTGAGTTTCAGATGTTTCAGGTTGGGCAGGATCTGATGTTTCCGGCAGGATCTGCCACCAGGTTGCCGTGACAGCACCTACACTGGGCATGGGCCCCGCCATGGAGCTATCGAGCTTCACCTGCGGATGCAGTGTGTTCCTCAACTCTTCTTGGAAGGTCACAGATCCTAAGGTTGAAATGGTTGAAATGGTTGAAATGGTTGAAATGGTTGAAATGGTTGAAATGGTTGAAATCCTTTGATTTCTTTGATCTGTGACCAGAAAATAGGGAATGGTCAGGATTCCTGGATCATCTGTCTTTCGTGCACTTCCTCAGAATCACTGGTCAAAGTCAGGGCTTGTTTCATTTCGCCATCACCTTGAAGAAACCTATGGTCAGATATTCATATGAATGTGTCAAAAGCCTGTAACTGTAGCCCTGTAGTTCACATCAATTCGTAGCTGTTTATGGATGTTCGTCCATCCAAAATATGCTATCGACAGGTTTTGACCCATCCCCATCATGGGAATTTTATGGATGTTCATCCACGTTCATCCCCTAAGAAATGGTATCATTTGGGAATTGATCCATAGCCATAGCCATTTTCCAGGCAGGCCATGATAAGTTCTGCGAACCTCCTTGGCCTTGCGGAACATCTCCTGCACTGCTCAAGATGGTTATTGGCACATAATTTTCCGTCCATTTATCTATACCCTGTATCATGTTATATTGTATTACATTATATTATAGTATTTTATATTAAAGACACATTATATGTGTTGGTTTTTTAATGTGTGTTATGTATAAAAATCTCTTTATTTACGTATTATCTCCTATGAATGACATGCACATGGTGACATGGTGCATGTCATAGTCGCAGTCCTTGGCATCATCACTTCTCTCGTAGAAGGTGACCACGCCCTTCTCACTGCCTGCGACAAAAAAATTCCCCGACCGAATCCCACTGGGTGCCCCTGATCGACCCGAAAAACAAAGCACACCAGTGGTGAAAAAGACCGTCTCAGACGCCCAATCCTGTAATCAATGCTACTTAAATAAATTTAAATATATACAGAAAAAAACGTGCACACAGAGAAAGAGAGAGAGAGAGATAGAGATGGAGACATAGATATTGATATAGATATTGATATAGATATTGATATATATATATATATACAAACAAAGATCTATCAACCACCGCAGTGTCAGCCCGCACCGCAATCAAAAAGAGACCACCGCACCTGCGATGAAGCCGCGGCTAAAGGATGCCACACAGAGCAGCGATCGGGGCTCACAGGGCGAACATGGAAGCACCATCTTGAACTCACCCCCGCTGTCGAAGAGCAAGGCATCCCCAGCTTCACTACAGACGATCAGCCGATCGTCGTTCAGCCAGGTGTGGCACACATAGTTCTGATTTGATGCCTGCGAGTTGCAACAGAGATGGTGCTCTGAACGAAGAATTCGGAGTTAGAGGCTGACATGAAATTGTTTGAAGCGGGAAGAATATGATTGGAACTTGGAACCAAATAGAATGGGCTTCAAGCCAATCGTAAAATAAGATGATTTCCACCAAGAACAACAGGAAAACACGAAACGAAAATGATGATTTCCCGCGAAAAGAATGGAAAGAATGGAACTACAACCAGAATTGTAAAGTGAAGCAAGGAGATCTGGATTCAACCCACAAGAAAGTAAGATGTGTTTTGAAAGCAAGATACACTGGGCTTCATGTCCTAGGGCCTAGGCATTGGATGAGACCTTGAAACAAAATTTAAAAGCTCATGGATCTGTATATATATATATATATTTATTTATTTATTTATGTATTTATTTATTTGTTTATTTACATTTATATCTATATTTATATTATATATATATACACACACACCCTAATCAGCAGCAAGGTATAGGAGAAAACAGAACTCCCCTGGGTAGTAGAGCCTCTCGCATCTTGTTCAGCTGGTTGGGAATGCCCTTGAAAGTGCCTTCCTGCAGCCGAAAGAACTTGAAGACGCCATCTCCAATGATGCACACCTCAGATTTTGGGGATGTTAGAGAGCTGGACCAAGACAGACCCAAATGATTTTTCGACACAATGGGGTATGGTGGCCTCTTGGCGGCCAGGGTGCCAAGGAGGAGTCTTGCGGATTGAAGGAACATTCGTGGATCATGCTACCTGTGAGGTTGGACACCTTCACCGCGCCATGCGCTTTGGCCTGACAGCAACGGCAACGCAGAAAAAGGGATGCCTATCCCCCACCAGACCCACCTGCCTTGTCCCAGGACCATAAAATCAAGGTCCAATCAGGAGGACCTCCCTGGGTGATCAGGAACTTGTTCTCTGCAGAGAAGGCCGCGCAAACATATTCCCGAGCCTCGGCGCTTCCAAGTACAGCGAGATCGGTGCCGGTGATATCACGAAATAGATCTGTCATCAAGCATTGCTTTACTCAGCTTGACTGCAAGCTAAACTCAAGCCATCTTGTTTCAGAAGATCCAAGCACCTACAACCAGCCAAACGAGCCCAGTGGCATCACAATCGCCGTAGGTGAGTTGACCTCTTCGTCGCTTCCCGGTGGTGACGTCGTAGACATAGCACACAGCTCTTTCTTGGAACTTTTCACACACCTTGGATGTGGGGAGCATGACCATGACAGTCAGAGACAACATTCTTCTGGGAAGCGCACCAGAAGACAACAGAGCTTTCCCTTCCATTTGAGCTAGACCCACCTGAATCATTCCCCGTAAATCTGCCTCAACCCTAGTAAAAGGTTGTTGAACCGTAGTGTTACCAAAATAGACTGCAACTTTTTGGGTGTGATGGGTTCCGTTAAGAAACATGTTGATCGGTCCGCCTCGCAAAATCAATCATGTTCATCATTTTGTGAGCGTATGTCAGGGATGTTGCGCTCTCTCTCTCTCTCTCCCTCTCTTTTGGAATCCAAGATAGTCCAAAAGCCAGGATCCCAAAAAAAGAGTTATGTTTGTTGGTTTATAAGCCCAAATAACTATAGTTATAAGTACCATAAACCATCATAAACCATAATTATTGGAGTTATAAACCAACTTAGCTATCGTTTTTGCCATCCCCCATTGGGCTCTTTTGTTTCACCGCCGCGTCACCGCGAGAAACTTCCGGTTGGGACTCAGCGCCAAGCTGGAAATGCCTTCGCTGCCCTCCGAGCCTGGGCTAAAGAGCCAATGACAACGGCATGTTGAACCGGGAAAGTACCGGAGAAGAAACCCCCCCATAAAGGCAGAAAAGGAAAATCTTTCAAAATAATACATTACTTTTCTATATGTGTTCAATCTTTTCTGGGGTTGCTATAATTGATTCAGTAATTTGTATAGGATTGTTCAATGGGATGCTTGGAAACTAGAGTTTTTGTTGATAATCCATGGGGGGGTGCTGTGTCTTGTTCTCTCCACATCTCTCCACGTGCTGGGAATACGTCCCATTTGGGATTGTTGCTATGCCATTCGTACCCTAAAGATTTCAACAATTTGGAGTTTTTATCACTAGGCTACACCAAAAAAATAACTAATCCCTTCCTCCTAATAATTTACTAAACGTCGCCCCAAAACTAAAAACAGGCGTCCATCTCCAGTTTCGGAAAATTTCAGTTTGGCCATTTTGACCTTTAACTGATCCCCTTTAGAAAACAATTCAGTGACACGGCCTCTTCTACTAATATTCATTCTTAAGACAAATGAAATGGTTGCTCCCACTACCCTCTGGTTGTCAAACACTGCTACACAAACTGCCGTAAATGATTCATCTATTGAAGTTGAGGATAGCCATGGATTATCAATAGCTAGGCTGCCAGGGGCTGACCAACAGGGATGTTTCTCGTTCAATCCCGGCCTGGAAAAACGCGAATCTGAGCCTTGTGATCAGCATGGTACAGGATGGTGTTGTGCCCGGCTGGATACCTCATGCGAGTCCGTGCTGCGCATGTCATGCCAGCACTGGAAGTTCTATGAAGTTGTGAGGGTTCCGGAAGATATAGAATTGGGTACCTGGGTACCTGAATTACAATCCAACAGAATGATGGAAAAGCTAAGATTGGTGGTCAGTCACCTGTCCAAGTTTGCAGTTTTCTTGCACGGGGAAACCAGCGATTCATAGTTCAAACTGTCAAAACCCGATCTCCAGTTGGGATCTAGAGTTGGGAACTCCTTCTGGTCCGGCCCAAGCCCTTGAGCTCTGTCATGCTGCAGTAGGTGGGCGTCATCTGTGAAGTGCATGTTGCCCTTGACGCCACTCTTAAATCCAAAGACATGCCGATGAGCCAGCTGCGCTCCACCCGCCTCCTGATCATCCCAGAACCATCCCTGAAAAATGACCTCCTCAACTGGATCCGACTTTCCCTCACAGTTTGGGTACCAAAAAACATCCACACTGTTGATTGGGCAGTTTGGACCCCGACAGTTCTGGCCTCGGCTTTCTCCGTTTTGTCGCCTTTCTCGGCCTTCTCCACTTTCGTCTCTGCCATCCGCCCAGAAGCTGAACTGTTTCGTCAGCCGCCGGGCGGCGGTTCGAAACTTACCCCCGCATCCAGCGAGGTGGTGCTTACCCTTGAGAAGTCAATGGCCCACACATTGCCACATGTTGTGACTGTCATGACTGTCACGGACATGCAAGAACGAACATTTTTCACCACAGCAGTTCGACCAAGCTGATCCCAAAAAAATGGGAATCACAATTGAGACATTGGACCAAAATGTGGAATTCAGCAGGTAAGGTGTGTAAAAAGTGGGTTTAGGATAACATCTGCAGTGCCAGATTGGATGCGTTCCCACCACAGGAGCCTGCTGCGAGTTGATCCAGCCCACGAGTGAGTTTGTGATCCAAATCCTCAAGGAACGGTCAAAAATTTCGGTCAGAGAACCCAGTCCTCAGTGGCTTCTCTGCCAAACAAACGTGCTGCATCCGGCGGATCCCTAGCACCATCTGTTGGGTAAAGTAGTGACACTAATCCGGTGTGGTTTTCCAAAACAAGAAACTGTTCAATGATGTTCAATGGTTGGTTGCCCTGGCTGCTTGCCGATGGCAACACCAGGTCACCAGGCACCAAACAATCTCGATTCTGTGGTTCCCTGCCCCCAGCCAGCAGGATTCTCGTGCACCTTGCGTCAGTTCCTGCCGCTGACATACTAGAGTACTTGGGGCAAGCATAAGCCATAGCCACAAGGAACCAGATTGATGTCAACACCAAATGAGTGTGATTGGGAGGATGCCATGATAATAGAAGATCATTGCAGATTATAATTTTCTTTGGTGACGCCCCTTCTCCATAAACCAGTGTTATGACAATCCCACTCAATTCCCGGTTTCCCCACAATACCCGCAGGTGCGCGTAGTTGTCTCATTTCCCCAATTGGTTGGTGTGGGGGTGGATTTACATGCCGTCAAGCAAGACTAGCGGAAAGGCTCAGTGGGGAATTAGATTCTGTATTAGTTGTGCCGTGGGTTATGTCATGTACGAGGTTCATAGCCCCGTTGAAGGCTAGGATCCAAGGACCGGCGTGGGGGCCATAGCCGCCTTCCACAGCGACAGGACGTTGCCGGTGAAGCCCATCTTGTGCATGGCCATGCAGAAACTCAGGAAACAAATTGTCCTCTCTGGGTCCCCACCCACGCTGCATCGACACTGACACTGGGTCCCTGGGTCCCAGGCTCACTCTTCAGCACAGGTGCGATACCCATCTGACCACAAGGGTGATTGGGATGGTTTGGGCCAAGTGGAAAAGTACTGGTCTGGTGTCACACCTCATCCGGAGCAACCTCGCGGCGCCAGGCACGGCACATCGATCCATACCTGCCATGGATCGGAGTTTCAAAAGGCCAAATACAGCTGGCGTACCCCCAAACAAGAGGAAACCCTTCGCCCTTGGCAAAATTTGGATTTCCAGACTTATACAACCTGTACTCATATCTTGATCAAACCCTGTGGACCACTGGACCACGCACCTGTGCGTCAGGAAAGCCCTGAATCCTGGTACCTCCACAAATCGGAGTTCCGACGCACCGACCAAAACTGCATGTTCCAACTGCGAGTTTGTCGCCGGCGCAAATTCATCAAATCTATTCTTACAAGACCTAGGTGGACCGGAGTGCCAGCAATGCCTCATGTTTGTCCCGTGCAGCTGAAATTAAATGGTGCAGCGCAGTTGTCTCCAAGTTTCTGAGTGGCACTTCTGCGTGCTACCATCACATTCATCGGCACCACCACCAATATGATCATCATCATGATCATCATCATGATCATCATCATGATCATCATCATGATCATAGTCATTGAAGCCGTCATCGTCGTCGTCATCATCATCGTCGTCGTCGTCATCATCATCATCACCACAACCATAACCTTAACCATAACCATCAACTCAACCATCGCCATCATCGTCATCATCGTCATTGTCATCATCATCACCACTATCGCCATCACAATCCATCACCATCATCATCACCCTAGTTATCATCATGAACCTCATGATGGTCCTCAAATTATCCTCATCATGATCATAATCGTGTTGTGTTATTCATTGTCATTGTCATGACCGTCATGACCATGTGTTTTTTGTTGATGTTTTTTCCTCCTCCTCTTTTTCCTTCTCCTCCTTCATCTCCTTCACTTTCCTTTCCATTTTCATAATGTTCATCCTCCTCTTCCTGTTCGTCTGCATTTTCATCCTATTCTTGCTCGTGCTGGTCCTTGCATTACCAACAGCTTGCAACCATCAACATCATCAATACCATTATGATCCATTATGTGTCACCGCCAAGATCGATCCGTTCTCTTGCCGCACATCACCAGCAAGGCCATGAAAATCCAGGCGCTCTCGCTCCTGGTTGTCACACATAGTTGCTTAGCTACGAAAGAGGCCAAGAAAAAACGATCCGATATACGGCACCTCACGCATATACATTTGTGTGTGCGCGCGCATGCGTCAAATTTGCAACAGTTATTTCCAAATCCGGTTTCAAAACATAAAACAAACATACAAGTAGCACGTTGGAACATGATGGGAACGCAGGAAGATCATGGCTGCAGATCCCGAAAGCTCCTCCTTTTTCAGTTTGTATCGGAGATTCAAAGCGTCTTTCTGGCACGGTTTTGCACGTGGCCAATGTGACACTTCCCAAATGGTGCGAATGGCATTAAGGCACCAAACCCCAAAAAAAAAAAACATGCATCAAACCAAGCACCAAGCAAGTCGGTTCGACCCTTTGCAATTCCCAACGCAAATTGTCAAACCTCATAATGAGGCTGAAGGGGGCTGAAAGACTCAACCAAACATGTGTTTCAAGCGCAATCCAATCCCCATGTGATAGGTTACTGGAGCAAACCCATCCGACAAACTTCGTACCTATTGGCACCAAGCACTGGACTCAGCGCAACTGGGTACGGCAGCGAAAGTGGAGATAAGACCTGAATTCCACCGCAAACAACGCGATTTCACAATGATTTCACAATGCAAATCCTCACATGAACACAACATTTTCCTGCGTTTTGTCCTGCGCCGTTTTCAATTCACACACTAGCACCTGAGCACCACACTCGGTTCAGATTGAGACTTGATGGCTGATTTTGTGACCTGGCGGGCAGGAAGCACGAAACCTCTTTCTTTTTTCCTACAATTTTGGCTGAGCTTCTGGCAGCCATCCTTCAGATCCCCTTTGCACATCATCCACCCCACCAAGAATTGTTGAGACAGCCCTGTTGGCAATACCTGAATCCGACCCACCTCTGCACAAATGAGGAATGCAAACCTATTTTTGTTTTCGTGGTTTGAAGGTTTGGATATTGTTTCCATTTTTCTGTTTCGCCACCTTATTGGAGTGCAAACGGCACTGAACCAAAATATCGCAACAATGCGAGCGACATCCATGCGAACATGCGAAATGACATATCTGACATTAACGATTGCAAATCAAAAAGGCACCGTTTTCACGGGGATTTATGTGATACATGGTGGTGACCGTCTTGGTCTCAACTGGGTAGTACTAGTAGGCATATGCTCACGTATCCCTCTGCTGTTCTTATCACAATGTATCATGTAACCTTTGTTCGGTCCGATTTTTGGACAAAACCGTGGCTCAATGCTTGAACGCGCAGGTGCATGTGCATACTGCCATTCACCGGAGCAAACCGACATAAACAAGGCATGCCGCGTCGAAATAGAAGAGATCATCGTTTAGCAGAAACCGCAATTGTCCTTCAGGAACTGAATGCCACCGGGTGTTGGCATACTAGTGGTGCCAATATCTTTCGAACGTCTGGGCAAAGTTTCATATGTCACGTGTGTGCGGTCTCCATTCTGGCATTGTTGGTGCCTGTCTTCGGGCCATTGTTTGTTCGTTTCCTATATCATGGGATGGTGATAACACAGTCACAATGGAACAAATGTATGACTTGCATTGAACTGTGGAGTTTCTGGCTGGACACTTGCAGACAAGTTGCGTGTGACCAAGTTGTGTGTGAAGAAATTGTGTGTGGACAAGCTGTGTGTGGACAAGCTGTGTGTGGACAAAAAGGAGGTGTGCCCCAAATCCTGGGACACAACTCTACACGGAAGCTCTGTACCGACACGGAAGCTCTGTACCGCCACTGTGCCGGACCGCAACTGTTGCTGTTGACAGCCACGGCACGAAACGAAAAAAAGGATAGGCTCAGTGGAAAATGCGCATGCAAAGAAACTGGACAAAAGCATGCGTTTGTGTGAAAGAAAAGTTGGACTAACATCACCTGGAATACAAGGGAAAAACCTCGTTGAAACCGACCTCTGGCGCTGTCCATTGGGGAGCGTGGAAAAAGGAAAGAGGAAAGCCAGCAATTCATAAGGCAGTGATCAAAACAAGGACAATCCAGCGGTGAGCGGTCACGAAGACTCAGGCTTCTCGATGGTCGCAGGTGTTCGTGGACATGAAGCGGAACGAAACTAGCGTCCAGGATCAGCAGCCAGAAACAAGGCAGCAGCCGGTCTGGCAACGTCAATGTCCCCAGAGCTGACGAGTTCGGCGGCGACGCAAAACTACCCGACCGCGGAAGCGGTGGGCAGTGATACAAAGTTCTTGTAAAGCTGTGCTGGGTAGGCAGCTGCATTTTTTCCTTCCCTGGCTGCCGTTGCTAGGCCAGGAGCCGGAGGTTGTGTGAAGCGGAGGTTGACCAAGCTCCGGCGCTTTCAACAACCAGTGGTTGAAATCGGACGCCTTGATTCCCACACAGCTGGCCTGTGCGAAGGTGGCCCGCTTTGATTTCTGCATAAAAATCCGCTGCAGCCCCGGTCTTGCAGCTAGCCTCAGGTAAACTCTCCGACCACTGAGGGGCTGTGACAGCTACATCGAACGCGGTTGGAATGGCAACGAGGCTAGGAACAGAGACATCGGTGGGGTGGCGCCGCCCAAGGCCGGCTTCTTCTGGGGGAAGGAGCAAACCAGGCTTGTGCCGTTCTGGTTGCCAACCTGCCCTCTCAGCCCACTTGTAGGTGA